CCCTTTAATTCTCTCCCCTATCCTCAGGCTGGGGGGGGAATTACTTGAGCAGGTGCGTGGTTTGGCTGCCAGCCAAGGGCTAACCCATCACACCTCCTTACTCAGGACCCCATCGATCTATGTCACTGGCTATAAACGTCAAAGTATCCGAAAGTGTCCACACATGAGTTTAGAAACATGCTGTACCACATTCCACTCCCAAATATTAAGTGGACCTTGAATTAATATTGGTATTGATTTTTAAGACAGAAATAATTTTGGCTTATGATCTCTGCTTTTACAAAATACCGGTTTTTTACAAGGGCAGGAGCCTTCGAGCAACCCAGTCTCATGGAAGGTATCCCTGCCCATGGCAGGTGGGTTGGAACTAGATGATCTTTAAGGTCCCTTCCAACCCAAAGCATTCCATCACTCTATGAAATTTACAACACTTACAGAATTAACACTTCTCCTACGATAAAACCAAGTAGAGAAACATAAGAACAAAGTAAATGCTGAATGCATTTGAAAGAGAGTGAGCACACACTGTGGGAATCAGGTGTTTTATAACTGCTGGTTTAAGGGCAGTCTAGTTCATCACATCTCCCACGCTGAACAAAGAGGTGAGTAGCCTACAGCAGTAAATTCACTATGAATAGTACAAGCTAACATACATCCACTACGCTTTCATCAGAAAAATCTGAAACAATGGAGTACAAAGTGTATATACTGAGCAGATATGACCAATCACCACCTGAAATTGTTTATTCTTATGCTACATTCTTTCTAATTGTACAACTTGGGCATTACAATAGATTTTAACATCAAGAAATAGCATTACCAACATGATACTCTGATACTCTGACTTGTACATATTCTAAAGAAGTACGACAAGACCACATGCTGAATGCCTTATTTCTGTAACCTTGCACACTGGAGTTCGTACCTACAGGTAAAGGAGCAGAATATCTAAAGAAAGGGTAAAACATGAAGCACAGGGGAATATTCCAGAAGTTGAAGCAATTGAGATCATGGGCAAGCAGATCCATAGCTGCTTGTCCCTTAAGTTCTTCTTTAATGCACATACTCATAATCCTTATCCATACAGCAGTATACCACTGGAGGTCAGGGTATAATTCTGTACTAACAGGGCTGAAACTAAGGTATGATGTAAGAATAAGTTGGGGGTAATCAGATCACACTTTCCAGCTTCCAAAAATGAGAGACCTGCATTTTACTATATCCTACACACAACTTCACATTAGGTTTTCTTTATTTAACTTGTCACCTCTACAGGAAATCCTTTAATCACAGCAGACAACAGGATTTTCTGTGAACCAAGAGGCTGGTTTAGTATGATGCAGGGTTTTTTTTAACCTTATCTAAAGCCTGACTGATGACAGAGTCATCACAGAAACTAACTTGTACTCAGGAGGCTACACTTGTCACTCAGGTTTCTTTTGATCACCTTCCACATATCCTACTATCTTTTGATCAGATCAGTTCATTCTCCCAGAGGGAAACACATTCCTGACTTGACTTGCATTAGAGACGACCTGCTACTTGTATATCCAAACAAACCAATTCTGTTCTCAAAAATGTTCACTGACCAGATACCTACCATGGAAAAATAGACATTCCTCCAGCTACTGACCATAGCTTATTGTTGCAGGTGTGGCCACTTAAGAGCAGGTTATCAATTCTGAAGTGAACATTCATCACACATACTAGCTTCTCTGACAGATTACTACAGCTTTTCACAGAAAATTGCCATGTTAATACACTGCCATTTTAGCAGCAATTGCTCAACATTTTCACTCACACTCACTCATTCGTATTAAAAACATTATAGTTATTCATATTCCCAACTTCCTTGCTAAAATTGATACCTGTAACTGCTAAAGGCTCACATACTTCATTTCAGCTAAACACATAGAAAAACTGTCATTTGAACAGTAAACTTAAAGGAGCATGAAATGTTATCCCAATTCCCCCACTTCCATAGGGTTTTCAAAGTCTACATAGCAACACAGAGGTATTCAGAAATCACTGTGTAACAGCAGACTGAAGAGAAGATGATGTGCACATTTAAGTATCTTTTCCTCTATGTTGACAGAAAGCTGCAGAAATTACATTAAAATAGCAGGTACACTAATGCATTTACCAGGGTGCAACTTATCAACCAAAACAGAAAGAATAAGCATAAACAATCAGCATTTAAGACCAATGTAAAAATATTTTTTCTTTTTCTTCTGTACTTGCTCAAATGTTACTAACAACTGAACACTGATATTGGTCTCCTTGAGGTTGCAGGTAAAATACTAATTTCTACTCTAAATGTTATGTATTTTTCCAACCTAAATTTAGTACATAAAAGGGGATTCTGTCATGTAGGGATTGCAGCACCTCTGATATGAGAACAGGCCGAGGGCACTGGTATTGTTTCACCTGGAGAAGAGAAGGACTAGGGGTGGGCAATCTTATCAATGTGCATGAATACTTAATAGGAAGAAATAAAGACTGAGCCAGACTCTTCTCAGGCTGCTCAGTGGAAGGACAAGAGTCAATGGGCACAAACTGAAACACAGGAAACTCCATTCAAACAGAAGACATTTTTTCTGTGTGAGCAGTCAAACGCCAGCACAGGTTGCCTGTAGAAATTGTAGTCTGTATCCTTGGAAATAATAAAAATAAGCAAGGACATGGTCCTAAGCAGCCTGCTGCTTTGACAATGCTTTGACCAGGTCAACTACACAGTCTCCAGAGGTTCCTGCCTCTGGAGTGAGAGTTTGACTGAGATGATGCTCCACAGATCAGTATTGATCAAATCTTCTACTGAACAGAAAAAAATTATCATCTGTTTGGTAACCTCATATAGTGACAACAATAGTCTCATAACTAAAAGTGGCGTAAGACTGGCAACTACACAAGTATACAGCTAAAACATACAGCTGCTACTGTATCTATAGAACAGAACAAAAATTTTGCAAAGGAAGCAGTAAGTGGGATGATCTCAGTAGAACCAACCACAGCTGGAATATAATGCCTAAACACATGGTAGAGTGGGCATCAGCTGGCTAGCCTTTTATTTCAAGGAGGAGCCCTCACCTCAACCAGGCAAATACTGCATTTTTTTAATCCAGTTTCTCTACAGCTAACACTCCGACTGCATCACCCAGAGGCACAGTCAACTAGACTGATTGTCCAACAAGGAAGGGACAACAAGCTCTGAGAAGAAAATGCTCCTGGATCCAGGGTGAAGAATGTGATACCACTGCTTCCAATTTATAAGTGGGGGTCTGCAGGAGTGGCCTCTGTGAGAGGAGGTCTGGGCTGCTCGGTGCTGGATGCAGCTAGCTCCAGCAGATTCACCACAGGACACAGCTGAGCCCCTCAGTCACAATGGTGGCACCTATGGGAAACTGTAGGTAAGAAAAGGTAAAAAACACTGTACAGCAGTGTGAGAGAAATGAGAAAAGTGAGAGTGAAACAGCCCTGCACACACCTAGGTCAGTGGAGAAGGAGGGGGAGGAGGTGCTCCATGTGCCAGAGCAAAGATTCCTCTGCAGCCCATGGAGAGGACCAGAGAGGAGCAAATATCTGCACTGCAGCCTGTGGAGGACCCCACACAGGGGACACGCCCTGGAAGAAGCTGCAGCCTATGGAGAAGAGCCCACAGAGCAGTAGGCTCCTGGCATGTGCTGCAGCACATGAGGGACCCACACTGGAGCAGTCTATTCCTGAAGGACTGCACCCTATGGAGATCCATGTTCTTGAAAGACTGTATCCCATGGGAAGGACCCACGCAGGAGCAGAGGAACAGTGTGAGGATGAAGGAGCAGCAGAGAAGAGCTGTTACAGACTGACAACAACTCCCATCTCTATGGAGAGGACCCATGCTTTTCTTTGAAAATCAGACTTTAAAAGCAACACTGAGATCTACCACTCCAACATTTTTGCAAGGTTATGTTTCTCTTTACAGAATGAGCATGCTTAGAAGTTCTGCACTTGGAAATAATGTGCTTATCGTGGTGATATAGGTAGACTGAACACATCACAAAGCTTTTGTTTAAAGATGAATACATTTTAAAGTAAATGCATAAGTAAAAGGCTTCACCAAGAATACAGAGAAATTAAATGAAACAAGCAAGATTAGAGTGTTACATAATGTCTCCATAAGTATATTACCAGAATGCATTCAGGTCAAGAAGGTTCAAGCTAGCCTCAGCCTGCATTTTAATAACTTGACTTACTCATTTATTTTCCAAGGCTTCCAGAAAATTTTTAAAATCAGAATACAATCAAAACAGAATTGTTTGCAGGTGTTTGCGTACCCTTAGTTCTAAGAGCTCACAGCAGAAACTCCAGTTCCTAATAGAAGGTTAGCAATGCTAGAAATCTTCGGACATCATAAATACTAGCATGATGTTAATACAGGAAACCCTGGCTACTTGGTGCATTTTAGACCTGCATTCCCAGAACATGGAGCTAAACAAAACAGTAGTCACAACAACTGAATCTATTAAGACACTAATCCATCTTGACTAAGCAAAAAGACAAATGCACAGAGCAGGAGAATCTGTTGAGAAACAGAACACCACAAGTACACTTACCTAAATTTAAGAAATCTGAGCTGGAAGAAGGTGGAAGCGAGCTGTGTGTGGAAGGAAATGTACTAGCTGTAGTTGAACTTGGATTAAGAAAGCCCCCAAACAGGTCTGGACCAGAGAGAGCTTGAGTCTCTGAACTTGATGACATTGCGAATGGGTCAAAAGGATCAGCTAAAAAAGAAGCAGAAAACAAACTTATTTTATGACAAATCTTAGAGTAAACAAAGCTGAAAAAGCCTTACTCCTCCGGGGGTACAGACAAAAAGCAGAGTTCATGTTGGTAACTGCAGCAGCTTGAGAATTCTTCTTGGCAAAGAGTCACCATCTGTCCCTTTCTCTAGACATCAGTACTTTCATGTTGGTACAAAAATTATTTCAGCCATACACAATACGAACTGCTACGTCTTCAAATACAAATCCTTAGCAAGGCTGTAACATTCAATAACATTGTTAATTTCATCCATGTAAGACACATTAAATTTGAGTGACTGCATACCGAAGAACTACATCTGTTAAATGCTCTATAATGCCAAACCTCCAAAGAATTTAAACACAGACTATTAAACTACTAAAAAGAATATCAAATAAAACATTCATACTATCACTTTGACTTGAAGGCATTGGTGACTCTGGGGCAGAAAGCACGTCAATTCAGAATGAAAACCAACAGAAGCAAGGCTTTCAATAGGTCTCTAGTGATCACAACGAAGAAAAAACTAATTGGAGGAGTATTTATAGTCAGCATGGGGTAGCATGTGACAGTCATCTGGAATCATGGCTGAAGATCTTCCTGTTTCTACTGCCCTCTAGGGTCAAAATCCTCAAGAGCCCAGGGAGTCCTGCCAAATTCACTCAGCTGAAGAGGAGGAAAAACCATAGTACCATAATGCCCTAGCATATCCTGAGGTGATGACCACATTGTACGGGACTCAGTAACACTTCAAAAAACAAACCTTGGATTGACATCAAGCTATCTTACTATAGCATTGCACGTACACAAAACCTCAAGTACAAGTTCCATGTGCAAACTGAAATACAGGAATGGCCAAATATTCTCATTTCTGCAATTATTTTTCTCTTATCCAATTCAAAGATTGAATCAGATATCTACATGACTACTGCTCAAGTATTTTATGGAGTACATACAAGAAAGGCACAGTTAAACAAAGACCAAGTAGTAACATTTCTTTTATAGACTTCTGCGTATGTAAAAAAGGTAAATTGATTCCTCACTGACCACAATAATCAAGTTCAATGCTGAACTGCTTCAAAAGAAATACCTGAAATCACCTTACTGCTCTACAAAATCACTTGGCAGCTGTATGCAGATTAAAGCTTTTAGTCCAAGTGAATTATCTTTGTGCAAATAGGCTAAACCTTGTAACAGTTTCCCAGATTGACTAATGTTCCCAAAAATCTTACTGTAACTTCAAGGCAGAGAATTGCTATTCCCAAAAGTTTAGTCATGTGACAAAGAGCTAACTATGGATTGGTAAGAGGAAAAGAACCTCTAAACTGAAACACCTTGTTTTAAGTACCAAATAGGTATCAATGTGTAATGTTATCTTGCAGGATACAGAGCTACCAACATCAGTAAAACTAGCAAAAAACCCACCCTTCAGCACTATCATCCTACTGGTCTGAATAGTAATCCACAGGATTTCCAGCTGCCTAGCAGTCTTATGTGATTAACACCAAAAATCACACACAGACGTTTTATCTAACAAGCAGCACAGCTCTGGACAGTCCAATGCTTTTGCTTTATGTAAAACGCAAGAAAGCAGTAAGTTATTACAATTCTATGCCTTAGCAAGAGACCTTATTTACACATGGATTTAGAAAAAGATCTAGCATGTACCATTTTTATGGGAAAGCTACGGATTCTTTACTGAATCTCCTTGAAATTCCAAATTTGATAATTCCGTCTTCACATGGTTTAAAGCTAATAGGATATTGGCAACATAACAAAATAGCTGGAAAATCTACAGCAATTTGTTTCCTTCATGCAGTAAAAACAACTATTCTATGCAGATTCTTTCTATAGACCAACATATTCAGTGTACAGATCAAAACATGGTACCCATTTTCTAAGCACAATGCAAGCAGCAGTTTTTATCCATTGTTCAGCTGAAGAGTACTGATGTTAAATTCACGTACCTGAAGACATGGCTGCTGCTGAAGACGTGCCCTGAGTAGCAGCTGGACACTGAGACTGACTGCTGAAAAAGAAATCTGTTCCTTGCCCAAGAAGATCTCCAGTGGGCTCTTCTGAAATCTGTGACGCATTACCCACAAACAGATTGTTCAACAGGTCTGCATTACTTGATGAAGAGCTTATTTCTGAGATAGGTTGTTTCTCTTCTGGTAGAATATCAGAGTCTAGTCCCAGTAAGTCTACATTCTCTTCAGGAAGAGGTTTTGACAGTGCAGATGGAGCTTCAAAACTGGCTTCAAAAAGCAACTCGCCTTCTGGAGTAGTAGAGTCTTTTTCATCAACAATTACTGTACTTTCTTCACCTGAAAATGTAGGAAATTCCTCATCTGAAGGATCACTCTCCTCCCTGTCAGATACTTGAACATTATCTTTTTTAGATGAACTGTCCTCTATTCCACTTTCCGGACTTTTTCCTTCTTCAATAAAAAGAAATAACAGCTTTAGATTACCAGGCTGCTTCTGCCATCTAGGATAAGACAGACTTACATGTTGAGATCATACGGAATCAATCCTTAATTAATCAAAGGTCACAAAAGAATTTATGAAAAAAGAACTAACTATTGCCTACCAACTCTTATTACAGGGTAGGTAAAGGGTAAGCTCACAACCATACTTGTCACACTGGAAGGGCAGGTATTCAAAATTTTTTCAAAATGAGTGACTTGGAGATTCACCTGAGGACACTGTACCACTTACAGCTTAGGTCACTCAGTAACTGCTGCTTCACTCAATGACAGCATAAACAGTTACTGACATTTTTACCAACAGAGCAGAACCCAGAAAAATGACTTACATATGCACTATAAAGTTACATTTTCTCAGTCCATACATACTGATCTGGACCCCACTGGCTAGTCTGCTTTGTTTCCTCTGTTCCTCAGCCACCCTAAGTGGGGCTGTGGAAATGCAAAGGCTTCCTTGCAAACCTTGAAGACTTTTGCAGAAAAAGAATAATTTATCTTAGCATTTAAGTCACACATAATGCAAAAAACATTACTTGGGATGTATCCAGACGAAGTGGAATGACCACTTGTTAACCTGCAGATCCCACTTTTTAAACAGCTTTTTCTCATGGTCTGAGGGAATAGTGACTTTTGCTGCCTAAGAAGGCTTGAGCACTCATTGGAAGGTGTACAAGACAACAAACATACAAAACAAAGTTACTTCAGAGGAAGACCTGTACCTTTCCAGTCCAGAGAATGAAAGAAGTTATTTGCATCAGTACTACTACTGTGTGGGAACTCTGTCTCAGTAGGTGCACTTTCTGAAGACTGCTCCAGCTGGGATGCTTCTGCTTCATATTGTGCAGTTGAACCTGGTTGTCTAGGCAGCTCTGGTTTCCCTGTAAAATAGATTTTAAGCCATAATCCTTAGAAAGAAACTTCTAAAACTCAATCCTGGTCATAGCAGCTGGTATTGGACTTGCAGACTAACTGCTATAGCAAGACAACTGTCTCAGTCTATCATCCTGCAAAGGCAAATTCCTGCCCCCGCCCCATTTGAAACTGGCAATATTAAGTTTTCTTCAATTGCAACGGCTGGTAAAACCCTATGTTTAACATTAAATTAAGTCAGACTCAGCAAAACACAGAAGCATTCTATTTACATTTGTAGGAAAACAGCGATAACATCTCACTTGTACCAGCCATCCCTTAAAACAGGCAAGAGCTACAAACATCTGCAATAAGGAACAGAATATCAGAAGAGAGCAAATGCAGCTACAGAAAAAAACCAGCATATAAAGCCAAAGAAGTACAGGGAATTGTTAATAAGTCTCTCAAAGGAGTAATACACTGCATGCTGCAATTAACTACTCCTTACATTTCTTATTTTACTGAGGTCAGATATTAAGTGACTCTCTGTAAGACTAAGGTGGGCTGAGTTACCTACTGCTATATCATCTCCCAAAAAGGAGATTTTCCCAAGGCAAATAAGGAGAATCCCAAAATTACAACGTGTTCATCCACTGTTTGAAAAGAATGGGATGAACACTTGGGAAAAAGTTTTGTCTACATCCAAATACCAAACTAGTAGAGCACTTTTTCACCCTCCTTCCACATACTCAGTTGCAGCTTACAGAGATAGTGAAAAAAATGTATCAGAAAACATACACGAAAGATCATGATTAATGAAATAGTGCAAACTCAATTTTAACATGGCAAGTTTTATAAAACCAGTTCACAGCACTTGCTCACCCTATTCCCTTCCCACCAGTTTTAAGAAATGTTTTCAATGGAATTTGAAACCCTTACACTTAATTTATCAATCAGAAATGAAAGTTACTGTCAGTAGTAAGGTGTTCCATTGACAATGAGGTTCTGTAAAAATTACTCTTAACCTGAGTGAGATGAGACTTGTGTTCACACACAACTCTTTAAAATCTGTATAAACTAAGTTAAATAGGAAGTGACCTAAATCATAACACAAACCAAATATATCCTGCTAATAAAAGATAGCAGCAACTACCTTGTATCAAAAGAAACTGAAATGTACCATATTAAGAGAGTAAGATCTCATGTACAGTGTACTAAAAATCACCACAATAATCTCCATCATGCTTCTTATCCTGGAAGCACAGAGAAGGCTTAAGAGCCCTAATGAACATGTCAAAGCTAATTACTGATACCAGAAAAAGAAAGACACTGGACAGCATTAATTGTAATTAATGCAGACATCTACAGATGTAGCACAGAATATCTAGTATTAAAAAAAAAAACACATCTCCTAGCCACATTAGGAAAAGTCGAGAAATTGACTTACAGCATTACTTGGCTATGCATAAGAAGGACCTCGATAAAAACATTTTTTAGTTAAGACCACTTGTGAGGAATGCTCATATGATTTTAAGTGAAATGATAATGGTGCCAGTTTTTAGCCAAACACAGTTCTTTTAAGACTTTTGCATACAAATCCTGGCTGTCACAATTCCATTTGCTAAAATTCCTGCCAATAGCATATTCATAGCTTTAAACCAAGCAAATGTAATAACAGCAGAGGTAAAATATGGATAATTATAATCCATTATTGGAGGATAATTTATACTCCTTCATACAATGCAAATTTAGGTGATATTTACAAAAAACCTTTTAAATTTCTTTCACTTAAAGGAACGTCAGAAATTAAAAGTCTCAAACACTAAGTACGTTATAAACCTTATGTTCTCTAGTTTTTCAAGAGACTCATTACCAAATTTTGATAAAATCTCTTGTTGTTCCTCTCGGGTGGAGAAAAGGATCTTGGGATTCAGTCCCTTTATATTCATGTTGTCCCACGGTGGCTGTTCACAACTAGGTCTATCTCTGGGCTCCACCTCTACTTCCAGATTGACTTGAAATAAATCAGGATATTTTTCTTGTATGTCACAGGCATCCAGATCATACCTGTAAAGATGCATGCAAGTAGATTCTTGATACCGATGTCTAGCTAGATTAAATTCACTTCAGTCCAACACAGAACTTTAAAGCAATTAGTATAAGGCTTAAAATATGTTTACTTTTCCTATATATTTAATCATATTGGTATAGATTTTTTTGTATTATGAAGAAAACCTTGAGTTTCCTTAAGGTGAGAAAACAAAAGAACCTTCGTATTGCAATTGAAGTAATCCACTTCCTACACTGACTGTATTTCCTCCCCTCAGCATATGTTCATTTGACAGGTTAATCAGTTAAGAAAACTTCTTAAAGCCTCCTACAAAAGAGTGTCAACATACTTGGCAAACTTCACTATGGTGGCATTTCGGGGCACAAAACCTGTGTGAAACTGAATCTGAAACATCTTCATTGAAGCCATCTGTTGAAAACAAGAAATACAGGGAAACCACATAAATTCACATGAACAGTATGCACAGTGTTCTGCCTTTATAATATAATGCAGAGTATTTTCAGTATTAAAATATTTTCAAGTGTTTGTTTTGCTTCTATTTCAGCTAATTCCATGTACACTTTATATTGAGATTTAAATGCAGTTTAAGACAGAATATAGATAAATCTGTTATTACCAGAAACCAGACCTTGAACCAGATTCCTGTCATCACTAACCTCAGGCTATCAAATTGCATTAAATATTTCCAGACCCTATTCTAGGGGCTGGAACTGTATGACCCTTACTACTTTTCTGAATAACATACACTCACAAAAACTTACAGTGCCATACACTAATCAAGAAATAGCTCATATATATAGGAGTCCATTCAGAACAGTTTTAAATAGAGCACATTTAAAAGGACACTTTGTAAGGTATGCCACCATTCTTTTTTTGTGTGAAACTTCTCAAGTCAACCATTCATCCCATATAGAATTATACGTTTTTTTCGGAACTGATTCATTATAACCACTCAACTTTCCAACTCTCTCTTCTGATGACAGAAAAACTACTTTCCTGTGCCTGATCAGCATATGAAAATCCAGAAAATGCTACTATAGATGGTTGATGTAGCTTGTGGTCTCACACAAATTCAAACTACAGCAAACTGGTACGTCCACCGTGTATTTGTTCCCTGGCTTTAGTTACAACACACGTGGAATAGTCTGGCCAGTCACTACAAAGCAAGTCATGCAATAATAGTCCAATAAATACGATATAATAAAACTGAATGCTGAAAGCTTTCCTTGTAAATGAGCATTTATTGAACATCACAACCAGTAGTCAAGTAACAGGCAAAGCACTGCCAGCTGGTTGAGGGAGGTTATCTTTCCCCTCCATCCAGCACTGATGAGGCCACATCTCAAGTCCTGTGTCCAGTGCCGGGCTCCTTAGTACAAGAGAGACATCGATATACTGCATACTGGATTCTCTGATCCATCCATCCATCCCTACCCTGAACTACACATGAAAACCTGAACACCCTATTAAATCAGTTTTCTTAATCCCTTGCTATGACAGACACTTCCAGAAGATAAACTAAATCCTCTCTCAAATTAACTGTGCACAAGAAGGAGAGACTCACAACAAACAGCTCTAGGCACTTAACAGCAATATTGAAATGTGGTGGTTGATCTCCATGAGAGTTCTGCAGAGAGCTTCAGGGGGCAATTTAGAGTACATAAAACTAAGAACACATTGCATATCGTTCCATCAAAGTTACAAACCAGGATCAAACACTATTGACGTATCATGTGTTACAGCAGATGTATGAGAAAATTCTAATCTTTTCCAACTAGTGAATAAATGCCAGAGAAACCACATCAAATAAACCCTACCATCAGTGAAACGGAAATTGCCCAATGAGTATAACCTAACCTTGGCTGAATTTTCCCCAGTTGTAAACCTTCCTCACTGATGACCTTGAACCACACCCTAGTTATTTTTGTGCATTAAAGAACCATGTTACTGAGCTTTCAGTTTTGGGATGTTCTGGAAGATCTGGCCCCAAAGCACCCTAGGGACATTAAGAAAGTCTTGAACCTCTGCAACATGACAAGATTTCATACTGACCTTCCTACCTACAAAGTAGGAAAATACATAGGGAAAGCCATTTATGTCAGCAATAGTAGATATGTACGAATATGCTTGTTTGCCCCTGTCTGTGGGGGCAGCTACTGTGCACCACATGCTTGCTCCCTTCCCTGCCACCCCGCCCCAAGTGAGATGAGGGGAAAGAATTTAAAAAAACCCCAAAATGTAGAACATCATGAGTTGAGGTAATGACAGATTTAATATTACAACACAAGAAAAAGAAGATAACAACAATAACATCAATAGGAATATACAATGGAATGGCTCACCACGTGAAGCCTGACAGATAGCGTGCTCTGGAGCCACTGTGCCGAAATCCCCTCTCTCCCAGCTAGCTTCCCCCTATATCCTGGGCACGAAGTCAGCACAGTATCCAACACCCCCTTGGCTACGCCCACCTCCTAGCTTCTGTGAAAATTAACCCTATCCCAGCTGAACCCAGGACAGTCCCAAACATATGCAAACTGCCTGAAGAACCTCTGGATCAATTTTCACGATCCTGAGGTTTTCCTAAACTTTGCACTACTCCTGCCTTTTACATGGATCTGCAAGTCTAATTTGGGTCACTCATCTGAAGAAAAAAAAGCTTCTTTTTTAGAAATTGGAAGACAGGCTTCATTAGAAAGTTTTTTGTGATCTTGCAATACATTCACATCTATAGTTGAATTAAAAAAAGAAATGTTTTCTCCTTAGGAGAACAAACATCAGTAATGAAATTGGCTATAAAAACTTGACCTCACTCTAAAATAGGGTACAAAACCACATGGATTTTTCTAGCCTGTTTTCTACAAGAAGTCCCTAGAATTCTACTTTTCTATTGAGCGATATTTTTCCTTTGGTTTCAGTTCGTGTGTATAGAATTAAGAAGTTCTGGCTTGTTGTGCAACCTAACAGATAACAGTCAATGCCTCAAAAAAATGGCTACAGGCTTTCCATGCAAACATAATACCTATCACTACGGAAGTAATTTCTAGAAATGCCTACCAAAGCATCTACATGAAGCACTAAGAATGGACATACTTATTAGGTTTGAAAAGGCTCAATTCTCAAGTAAAAACCGAAAACCGAAAACTTCACGAAGAAGAGCAAGTAAAGCCGCATCCTTAATGAGATCACAAATGTAAGCATGATAAAAAACTGCAACAAGAAGATGCAAATCCTCCACGCAGACTGCTAAATTTATCATTACCTTGGCTTGTAGTCGGCCTCCTAGTGTTGACCTGGCATGATAGATCACAATGAGAACATCTCCCTGGACTGTTATACCTAATGGAATTACTGCTTTTCCATCTTCAATTTTAAACTCCCTGAAGAAAAAAGCAACCACAGTTAATTTTGTTTAAAAAAAATCGTTTATTACCTTATGTTTAGTTTGGCTTCTCCAAGACCTTCACTATCAACCTATAAAAATCTGGTTCAAGTTATTATGGAGAAGGAATTTGCTCTGAATGATTAAAATTAAAATCTGCTCTAAAAATAACAAGATTAACAGTTGCCTACAGCAGAGCAAGACATATTTAGATCCATAGTTCTCAAAACAAATATGGGAGAAACACGTCTTCAAGGAGCTACTGGGCAATGCCAGTGAGAATATTATGAAGAAAGCTGTTCCAAAGAAAGGTGCAGAGAAAATGTAGCTGTATTGCTGCAGTATATTAGGACTCCTGTCTAGGGACAGTGGTAGAGAAATAGAGGGGGAAACGTAACACCCCACAGCTGCTAAACCTGTTACAGGGTTTGGATTTACAGGAAAGCTGGGAGGACTTCAATATTCTCTCATCTTTCCTCTGTCTGTGACTGTGTATACCTAGTACTGCTAGTACCATTTGCAATTCCTGTGCTGTATTAGAACAGCAGACACTGGAGTTGTACAGGGCCTAATAAGCAGACCACTTACACCTACCATGCCTGGAGGATCCTTCCTGCTTGCATGACTAAAACAGGATGGTCAGTTCAGTATATGTACACCAGGTATCTGTCTTCCTAGTTTACACCACAAGGAGTGGGAGGAAAGAGTCTTGCTCACATCTGCCTCCCAGTGCCCACAGCACCACCCCACCATCATTCCCACGTTCTGCAGGAACAGATTCAAGCTGCTACTACAACCATGTTGTCTCTTCCCCACAATTCACCTTTCAAGATCAGCTAAAAGACGACAGAGGAGCTACTCTATATGTTAAAGCTTTTTGCTCAGCTGGCACATGCAAAATCATGCTTTCTCCACACAGTAAGGACTTGATATTTAAGTTACTCTGTAAAAAACAAGAGCAAATCATAACTTGTACTTACTTCATTTTGTCATATTCCTGGGAGGTAGTGGTTACTCTCTCATCTCCCACATAAACTTCACAAAAAGGCCTGCAGCCATTACGCTGCTTACTGAAAAGAGGGACTGGAGTCATGACAATTGATCTGATAAGGATGGGCTTGCTGTGAGGAATAATGGGTTCTTCAGCCATCATGTCACACATATATTCAATGTACCTGCCAAAACCAAAAGGTAGTCACTTAGCCAGACAACCAAATTCTAAAAATGGGTGAATCTCCAGTCACTGAGCAGCAACAAATAGTAACAATAAAACACTGGGAACACTTAACAGCACTTCCAGCAAATGGATTTTCAAATCTGATAGAATTTCACATAATGAAAGTTAAATAGAAACATGGACAAGAATTTATGATCTCTAGCCAGTCTCTCAATTTAACAACTACACAGTTTCTGTACAAAAGCCTGATGGCTGCACCACAACAGAAAACTAAACTGCCCAGAAAACTGAATACTGCACTGCATATAAACTCATCTGCACCTGTGTCCCACCTTCCAGACAACTCCAGACATTGCCTTAGGTCTGTAGCTTTACACATATTCACTTGTAAAACTAGCAAATATTTCCAGCGGCCTTACAACACCAAAGTAGGAGAACTAATTATTTTGTATCTTCCACATAATAGATCCAAGTTAGACAGTGGTTCTGAAGCTAGTAACTCAAAGCTTCCGAAAGGCTTTAATTTTATTCTCATTAATATAGTTATCTTGTAGAGGACCCATTAAATATACTCAAAGTAAATCTGTACAACAGCATAATCTGTCATTCATGCTTAACTAATCCTTCCTTCTCACCTTTCTGAATCTAATCCTTTCTCCGTAACACACCCTTACTATCAGTCTCACTTACTACCAAGACTTGATTGTTACAGGATCTACCAAACTAAATCAAATAATCAGTTTAAAACGTTTGTCAAAGTATATGAAAGTCACCTCTGCATGCACTCCTTTAAAAACCAGAAGGCATTCTTACCTAGACAGAAAAGACTGGCAGAAATCACTATTGGTCTTTCCACAGAACTTCCAGTGTTCTGACACAGTAAAACCTACTGTAATAAACTAGTAAACATGGAATAAGTCTTACACATGTGGAAGAGGATTTTATACTTAAGAGAGCATTCAAAAGCAGTGCATACCCTTGTTTTCACTCCTAACATTTCTTCACTACAAGTCATGTTTGATTCACTTTTGATAACATCACCAGCAACTTAAGGGCTCACAAAATTCAGAACTACTTTCTCTACTCATGATACATCTGTTTTTCCAAGTATTTTGCTGCCTGAACACAGATACTATTGAAATAATTTATCTTCCTAAAAAGTATCCTGTAAAAATAGTAGCATATTAACAATTGCCTCACTTGCTTCAACTGTACTCTTCAAACCGACTGATACCATACCTTTTATGAGAAGGCCAAATGCCAGGAGGACAGCGTTTCATACTGAACATATAAACTGCAGCTTCAGCAGTAGTGAAGAGACGACAGAAACACAAAAAAGAACAAACTACAACAGCAGACGCTGCTCTTCCATCCTGCAAAAAAAAAGTAACCTTGTTATTAAACCTAGAGGAAAAACCGTTACAGAAGTTACTGAAGAACACCTTGTCTCCTTATTTAATGTAATGCAGTCCAAGGTCTAGTGCAATCACTAGATTTGAAGTTTGTAACTGGATGTTAAATGTTTCCATTATATTTCCACACAATGCAGAAGATACTACAAATTATCTGCTTGCTCAAATGCAAATAATTGGTTTAGCTTAACACTTTGACATTTTCAATTGATGTTTATTACGTTACTGTCACTAATACCCATTTTTAAGTTTGTTTCCTGGCTGCTACCCAAACCCCCTGTTCAGTCTATTTTTGGCTGGTGCTGCAAGAGAAGTCCTAAGATTCAGAAGAACTAAGCCATGCTAAACTCTTTAGTCTACCGACTAAAACTGCCTTGAGATTAATAGCTTGCCACAGAACTAAGAGAAGGAAATAAAACACTGAACACCTCTACAGTAAAGATCTGAAGACCAAGGAACCCTACCTGGTTCTGAATCCCAGCCACCTAGAGGCAGTTTCACCTTTACAAGAAGCAACTCTCATGTTTTTTTTTTATGCAAGGAAATGTATTGACAAAAAAATTCTCTCTCTACCAGATAAAGCATGCTTTTCAGCTTAGATTTCCTAGCTTTTAAATCTACAAAAATTTCCAGACAGATGTGTCGAAGACATATATTGCAGCTAATTCTTTTCTAGTATGTTCTTCACATCACATCTGGCATGCAGCCATACACATATAAGCTTCCCTCACACCTGAGGAAAAGGAATGAGTTAGGTACCTTAAAGGAAACATTTCAAGGGAAAGACGTTACAAAAACCAGAGCTAATTCATCATATCTGCTTCTTACCTACTTGACCAGCAATCACGTGATACTGAGATACTACAAGCATCAATTCAATATAGAATTAGATTCCTAACATCACAACAGCACTGAAAATCCCATCAGTTTTCAGGAGCTGACATTAACTGATCTTTTCCTTGCAAAACACTTAAAGTACCCTTATATTAGCAAATCCTCTTTTAGATTCTGATAGAGATATTCCATATAGACTACTATACCGTATCAAAGAACTGGTTATGAATGCTTTGCAGCAGCATCATAAGCATTGTAACAACTGCCATGTTTCTCTTTTTACTGCACAGGAAAACAAGAACCTCAAAATTTCACATATAGTTCTCTTACACAAATGTAACAGTAACCTCATGTTTTCAAATATTGAGCATAGTAACTGTTCTTTAAATTCGTCCCCCTCCCCCCCCCATGTTTGACATGAGGTGGCTCTTTATCAAGAGTTTTATTATTTTTTAGGGTTATATCAAAGTTAATGATACATTAAAGAACAGTGGAAGTTACACAGCAATCCTCTGCCAGCAAAAGCAAGTTTCACCAGAAGTCTCAGTCAGTTTCTGCAATTCTGTGGATACAGATTACACTTTAAATGGACAGCAGTGGGAAATGCACTGTACACCTAGCTGTCACTCAGAAAATATGAACAAAGAATAGAGCAAACACTGAAATACTAGAGCAGATTCTTTCTCCCAAAAGCTACTTTGCCTTAATTTCTCTTATGTACTGCCTTCCATGCTACGTGCAAGTAAGCAAGGGATACATTATCCTACTAATTTGCCTACAGAGAAAATTTATGCAAACAAATTTTCCTAAAGACATAGCAGGATGGAATTGCCCCTAGGCCTCACAATAAAGAAAGCCAGGAATGTTCACAAAGTGGATACTAGCATCCTTATTCACAGTTTAAAGCTAGACAAGTATTTCCAATTTAAGTCAACTTCTTACAAGGCAATGCACAATGCAAACATTTTTCTGGTCTTGTTTCAGCCATAAATGCATGTTCTTGCATATGCTATAAAGATTCTGAAGATTTGGTGCTCGTCTTGCTGGCCAGCCACATTCAGAAACCTGCAATGAGAGAAACAGCAGAGGTGAAAAAAGAGATTACATAGTCACATACATTTGCATAGCATAAACCATGTATATAAGAGGCAATTTTACACTTTAATTACACTTTCAGGTAGATATTAAGCAAGATGCTGAAGAAAAGTTGTCTCACACAGTGTATATGCACTTCATAGGAGTAAGTGCAATAACACTCCAGTCCTGTCTATAGTCTGCTACACTACAAGTATCAACAACTCAGACTTCTATATGAAATTTTCTTAGAGCAAGGAATAAAGTAAAACAGCTTTCAACTTGATTTGTGCACATATTCTTAAGCAAAAAAAAAGCAGAAAGACTTGGGTTGCTTTTACATTTGTACTTTCTTCAAAGCGCCTCAACAGTTAAGTAACATTCCTTCTACAATTAGTGCTACAAAACACTACCAAAAAATATCTGAGAGTCTATACTCTTAAAATCAGATGTCCAGTAAGAATGCAGTATACAAAACCTGATCCTTGAGCACATGCAACACCTAAAGAGTATATATTCTGCCAAGACCAAGGAAACAACTTACAAAGCAAGCTTTCTATTTGTTTTACAGGATCACAGTTGCTGAATATGTAAGACCAAGTTTTGCTATTAGCAACATGTTTTCTTACTCAGATAAAAAGAGTTCAAGGGCTACTCAGAGATTAATTACCTGAACTGACCAACTACCACAGAATATTCTTAACAAGATTGTTTTTGTGCCAAACTCAGTGGAAAAGCCTGAAAGAAACAGACCGACATACAAAGTCTCTTACAGCTTCTCATTGTATTCTAATTAAAAAAGAGGGCAGTTTGAAAAAACATCACTTTGCAAGAGATTTAAAATTAACATTTTTTCGTTAGTGAAGGCTTCTGCGAAGTCAACACTGAACAAATAAAGGCCAAGGCAAGAAGTCCTCTACATTCCTGTTCACCACAAGATAATATAATAGCAGTGAAAGAATCATATTGCAGCAAACCTACAAACGAGGCAACAGTCTAGAAAAGCAGATGCATTCAAAAAAAAGCAAAAGAACTGACTTTTTTTCTGAATTACCATTCACTTTCTGCTCAAACTCTGCTAGCTTTGTTACAAGATGTATACCATGAAACATTACCTTATTTTCCTTGGCTTATGTTTTAAGCTCAAAATGTTCTGATCACTAGCAGAACAATGGGGAGTTCACAACCTCTCTGAACAACCTGTTCCAAGCAGGACTCAAAACTAGCAGAGAAGACTTCAAAACTACCATTAACTTTAATGAAGGTTAAAGAAATTTCTAAAAGTTCCATATAGATAGCATACAGCATGAAAGCAGGAGTATGTAATTCCTGAAATACCTACTAAGCAAAGTGTCAGAATTAATAATTTCAGAAGCCGTTCTCCACTGATCAAGTTTAAGGCTTACCACAATCACCTTTTGCAGACACCAAACAAAACTAAGCTTCCTTAGCTTACTACATGGCTGCCTCCCCCAATACTGGCTGAAGTCAGTCAGTATTGCCCATTGTGCATCTGGATTTCCAAGATGGACAGGGAAAATTTCACCAATATTTTTAAAGAGTTTGCTTTCCAAGTAAAATAGCTGTCTTTTGTTTTTAAACAGAAGACAATGTTTTTTAGAAACCTCCTAAATACTCCCAGCCAATAAAGCAGGCAGGAACTTACAATGTTTTGACAAGTCATAATCTATCATTACTTCCCAGGAAAACAAAATATTATAAGACAAAATGAATACCAACAAGAAATGTAGACCAGAAACATTCCAGATCCCTGGTAGATCTAGCTGTACTTATATTACCATTCAATGTAACAGGAGTATCAATGTATAGGCACCTCAGACTTGAATAACCAAAAAACCATCCCATGGTAAACAACTTCCCAGTCACAGAATTTATCATGCCATAAATAGAGATTGATAGCTTTGTAGGATGTGAAATAAATCAGACCACTATGTCAGCCTCAGTGGACTTTACAGCAAACTAGTGCTAAAAAGCATTGCTGAAGATTTTGCTTTGCGGTACCTGCTCCAAACAATCATGCAAGAGGTTTTCTGCATGATTAAGCTTTGCCTTCCACATTGAACAGTCTCAGTTTAAAACTCATACTGAACCACAACAAAGTTGACGGCCTCCACTCAAAGAGGCAGTTATCATTTTTTCAGGTGTGACAATACTTTGTCTTGCCTGTAAATTTACAAGGAAACAAAAGGAAGTGACAAGCACTAGACTGATACATTAAACATACCTCAGCCTGACAGTTTAAGTGAACTTGGATAACTGAAGTAATACTAAGGACGGCTCTGCAGGATAAGGCCCAAAAGGGGTTTCCTGTAACAAATAATGCTTCTAGACTCTCCTCTGTGCAGTCAGTATTATTGGGAAGGAGCATGATCACCACAGACTGTTTAGTGAGGTCTAATGTGGCCAGTGCTAGACACCTCACAACACAGTAACAGTCTCCACTGTTGAGCAACTTACAGGACAGTTGAGGTGTCCCTGCCCATAGCAGGGGAGTTAGAACTACACGATCTTTAAGGTTGCTTCCAACCCAAACCATTCTATTAGGAGCAGACACTGAAGTCCAATATCTCAGCACCTAACGAACTGTCCTCACTATCTTACTGAATTAGACAAATGTCTTCATTTCAGTACCAGAGAAATAGCCAGAAAGACTAGTGAAGGCTCAGCTAAACTATAACAATATTTCAGGCAGCAGCAACAGGCAGTCAGCTAGTGCTGTGCCATATGAGAATCAGATAGTATATAGTGGGACAAGGAGAAAGTCCAGTAAACAGGTGCAAATCAGTTGTCAAAAGAAAACCTCTGAATGTAGGAAAGATTGAAATGTTAGTAACATTTTTTATTATGTTAAGTATTCTCCTTTTAATTCTGAAACGTGTAAGGTACCTGTAGATGTTTTCAAGGCTATCACTAGCCTAGGAAACAGAGTTTAGTCAGTAAGATCAAAGATTAGTCTTTCATCAGTTAAGTCCGGACTGAAAGCAAAGACAAGCAGAATATAGTTTACTCTTTGACTGTATGTTTACAGTTACTCTTTTGTGATCTTTTTGATTATGCAGCCTACTTTAACATTTCACAATCAAAAGCTGAAGGTATTATCAGGACACTGTGTTTAAAGACCTCTTATAGAAACACACAAGAACTATACGCACCCTATTATGGAATCTTGAAGGCCTGTATGTTCTTGGAGACAGATTGTACACAGCATAGTGGCCAGGATGCTTAGAGTCCAGACATAACCGCACATCTTCTATGTTATTTTTGATGGCAGATTCTACACCTTCAGCTGGAAAGGACATCACTGAAGACAGAACAAACACCAGGTGAAGTATTCACTTCTTTCATACATTAAAAGCAATCAAATTATTCTTAAGACAGACATAGCTACCATACCAGCAATTCTGGAAGTGATGTAGGATATATCCAAGTCTCCTTTTGCATAACTGAAACAGAACACATTGGAGTTAACACTCGGAAACACAACCATTCAAGCCATATCTCTAAAACCCAAGTCTCTCAGGTTACACCTGCCACCATCACTAGCATTTTATTTCTTCCATCTGAGGCTTGTTGCCTCACACTTCAAGGTTTTCAGAATAGATATTGTATTTGAACAGTTAATTATTTACATCAGTTGCAACAAAACCATCCCTGGGGGTTTTGTACAGATGCCTTCAATGTTTAACTCATTCCTCTAGACCCTGCTCCTACCAACAAATGTTCGTTATAGCTATCAGTTTAAAAGCCTAATGAGGATGCATTAGCATCTTAAACCAAGGACATCACAATGCTTAAAACAAAGGCCATTTGTTGAAACATTACATTTTAAATTATGTAACTCTGGCATGTTACTATCTGGCCCACATGGCCATGCTGCCCAATTTCTGGATTCCATACGAATAGAGGATACCTGAACCTCTTTCCTCATTTAAATAATTCCTCCTAAAGTTCACTTCCAAAACTCCTATAGTGAGCAAGGCATTAATCATTACTCATCTTTCTCCTAAGTTGTGCAGAGTTTTAAAGAGCAGCCTTTTTGAAAAACTGTTCTCCCAGTTGTTATTTTTTTTTTTAAATTTAGGTCCACTTCCTTCATCTGTACCTAATCACCCACATTATGCCAATAATTTGCTATTTTAAGACAGCTATTACTTCTTTTTGTTTCTAGAGTGTCTGCCATGTAGGAGGACCAAAAAGCTTGAGAAAAAGACTGAAGAGCCCCACCGCAGGCAAACACCCTTGAGTATAATCACATGGGTTTGCACTCCTGATTGGCAAAAAAAACCACCTCAACTACAGAATTTGGTTTAGACATCCCTAACTTAAGTCAGTAGCACACTATCTCCAGAATATCAAAATATCATCACAACACTATGATGCATGTTTAATGAATACAGAGGCACTACCAAAGCAATGCTTTTCTATCACTATAAAGTTTCAAGACACTGCTTTAGAGAGCAGACCTAGGATATTGCACTCAAATTTTGAAACATTAAGAGAACATTAGGCTTTGATTCCTTACTGCTTTGCAAGTAAACATGACGGAGACTGGAAGGGTTGATTAAAAGATTGACTTTACAAGGATTGGGAGAAGGATTTTAGATAAGGCAAAAAAAACTGCTATGCAAGCAAGAACATTAAATGGTATTTATGCAGAATGGCATAAATGTATGCTAGCAATAATGACCCAAGGTCTCAAGAGAAACTGAAAACACCACAAGGAAGTTTGAGAATTTGACTAGGCTATAGCACTAAAACACGTAGCCTTGAAAAATCTTGCATAAGAAGGTAGGCAAAACAGACAAACACTATTTCAGAATGCTTTGCACCTTTGTAAGGACATAACCTCATCAGGTAGCTCAAGTGGTTAACACTGTTGCAGCCAAACTAATTAAGGCAGAAATTTACATTCAGAACCAACTATGATTTCCTACCAAAATTAGCGATAAGCATAGTCCTTTACACCATTGAGAAGTGTCAAATGCTATTTATTGCTCACGCCTACCAGCTTCAAGCAAGAAAACACGCAGATCGTTCTAATAATGCCAACTTTTTTTGATATCAAGACAAAGAACCAGCTAACACAATAATGCTGCTTTGTTGTCAGACTATCTCTTCAATGCTATAACACTAAGGTTAAGCAGCAACTCAAAACAGTAGCACGGAACTATTAAGAGCAAAAAAACAGCAGTGCTCACTCCCATTCCTTGAGGAACACTGACTTCTTGCTAGCAACACCACTCAATTCAGCTTTGCTTTTTCCATTTGTCTAAATTAAAATGCAACATTATTAGGAGCATTGATCTCACCATAAACACATTGCTGAGAAGATGCACCTTGGTATGTTAACAGAGCAGACCCAATTGAAGCTTGCTGTTTTGCAGGAAAAAAATCTGTATGCCTGGTACAACTGGAAAAGCTTCAGGATGTTTGTGCTTCCTTAATTAAAATGTAGCTGCTAAACTGCAAAATCAACACAAGTCTCCCAAAACATGTGACCTTGTCCTTGAATTCCTTGAACTTCATTCTGAAGATTTCAGAGCTATTTCAGTAGTAAGGCTTGAACACAAGGTACTCTGTTTTTAGTGGACTGTTTCATGACAGACTGGTAGCCAAGATTGCTTTAAATGTCAGGAAAGTGAAAAAAAATGCGTATTCTTCACACAGGCAACCATTCCTACACATTTCAAGAAATAACCCTGTAACTAAATATCAGGAATAAGGTGTCTCCTTCTGTTGTTAACAGCAGAAATTTTGTTTACATAGCAATGTTGCTGGCAAGTGATAAGAGCAGATGAGCAAGAAAACAAATCAAGAGACTGCATGGAGAATTTCTGGCTTGTGATCCATATGGAAAATTGTGTGCTTTTTAAGACTTTGAGCTAAACAGGAAAGTATATTATGACACCAATATTTAGTCGCTTTGATGATACCAAGCTACTTCAAGGCTTCCTCAGTGAGATGTCTAGTAGGAAATGTAGCAAATAAGATATGAATTCTCATTTTGCAGAATAAATACCTAAACAAAATAAGAAGATTTAATTAGATGTTAAAATCTTTTCACAGTGTAAATGGCTGGCATTATCAATCTTGCCAGAGAACTGCTGCACTTGAAGACCATAACTAATATTAAACCAAAGATCATTCCAGCAAATTAAGTTAAAAGCAATTAAAATTAACAATTGCATTCACAAAATAAACTAGTTAGCATATGCACAAAATTCTACAACAGTGCATAGTTATCTTGTGTTACTAACATTTTAAGACAGGAAAGAATAAAGAACAACAGACCAACAGACTAACCAGCACAGCTATGATGTGAGCACACAAACCATTACTTTCAGTTAAGTAATGCTCTAACACTAAGCAATCTTCCTCCAGACATCTCAACACTCACAAGAGTAGAAAAACATCTATTCATCAGCTAAGCACCACCATTTTTGCAGTTTATTTTTTAAAAGCCAGGAAGAATTGCAGCATTAAAGTTCTCATAAATTTGTTCCCTCTTTGTTTTGGTTCATAAAACTGAATTAATCATTCAATACCTAGTGCAACACAAAGATCTATGAAATAAAACATTAATGCAGCATCAAACCAGAAAAAATTACCTTAGATGCAAAGAAAGCTAGCAATAAAAGGCAGCTAATTGTTCCCTAGGTTACTGGATCATGATCTCTTCAGTGAAGGAGGCTGTTGTAACAAAGCAAAACAAGACTGATCATTACTTTTGCATGCTGCTTTCACTATCAGTGAAGACCAGACACTTAAAACATTTACATATTTTTTTTTGGCAGGGCATCTGTAACCTGTGTGGTTGTAGACCAGTTGGTCAAGGGCACAGCAGTGTCACAAGCAAGAGATGGACAAGCTGAACAGAGGTAGGTTGAGGCCATACAGCCTGCAGACTGAGCTATCAGGCACACACAGGTATATGCGCTGGAACAAAGTTCCCTTCTATGCAAACACTGCTGTGGCATATCAGGTCCCTTCACAGAGCAGTGTAGATCTGCTTTAAGTGTTTATACACTCTGGTACTTTCTTTTAGGTCAGTTTGTACCAACAGAAGGCTGAACCTCTCTTCCTCTGTGTTCTCTCTCATGTAGCTGTAAACTACTTCTGCCTGACCTGAATCTGCAATGGAGATCACAACATCTGCAAGTGAGGTGGCCTGTGGGACAATCAAGACAACCCTCATTCAGTCTCCTGTTCCTAATAGCCTGTGCCATGTGTTTTAGTTCTCAGATTTTATTACTTATTAGGATAAACAGGAGACCAAAATTTAAATTAAGATCAAGGCAGCTATGAGAGAGAAGAAACAATTAACGTTTTTGTAGCCACTACAAAACACTAACTCTTCCACTGTAGTTTGGATTTAGGGAGAAAGAAGTCTGTCTGCGGATTAAGTAACTACCTCCACTATTCAGAAAAGCAATGACAAGTAGCAAGGAGAGAGCCTACCTAATGAGATGACAAGACCCCAGCACAAGGAGCGCTTATGTGTGTTGAAAATTCACGACCAAGGAAGAGACATTTTAATTTGTCCACAACATCTGATTCTCATGTTGGTTGAAGAGTTTTGAAATGCAGTCAAAGGTGCAGCAGTAGAAGAGGTATTCTCATGGCCCTGATAATATCAGCTGCAGTCACAACACAAGCTTGTAAAGGCAGAGAATGACCACGGCAGAAAGAAATATGTCCCATAGCAGATGCAAAGAATTAACACTTCAGCTCCCTTAAAACATAAATAGTTTAAGAATGCACAAGTCCAGTGGTGGGACTCTCGGCAGCACAGTGAATGTTAAATGCTAAATAAGCTGAGACTACCTTAGATCCTGCATAACATTAAGTATTGCTCACATTAATTCGTGTTTTGCCATTTCAGTGAACTGTTAAACACAGTTAAGATTCAAAATACATGACAGACTTATCAAGGGCCACTAGAAAGTGTCAGCAAGACAAGTGGAAAGAGTTTCTCTTTCACTATTGATTAAATACTATCTCGAAAATAAGTATCAAAGTAACTGGTTCTTACTAACATAATTATGTACTTGGTGCACTCCCTCCTTTTCTTTCACTCCCAAACTCAATGACCAAATTCTCTTAGATAACACCAGAAAACAAAAAGGCAGTTGTAGGAAGACAGAGGATCCTCCACAAAAGCAAGATTTATGTCAGTGCAGAGCTTAAAAAAATCTGACATTTCCACATGCTCTCTCAGAGGTGATGTGCACAAATCATTTGAATGTAATTCAGTCAGCTTAGTCCAAAACATCTGTGAGGGACTGCACAGCTCCTCAGGATGAAGCTTGGGACTTAACATACCCTGTCTGACAATGCTCTTTCAATCCATCACAGCCCATGGAAGTGCTGCATCATCCATTAGCTATAAAAGGCCTGTGGCTCATTGTTTCGATTTGGATAGTACAATAATCCCACCCATTAAGAACTACAAACCAAAACCATGTCAAACAATTACATTCACAAGCTACTCAATTCTAGTAAATATCCACATGTGACTTCCTATAATTAATAAGATGTAAAAGTAAAGAGCTTTTCTTTGACTAATATTTAGTCAAGTTCCACAAGACATGCACTAAAATGCCTCCAAACAGCACTCGCATTTCTGCCAGAGGCTTAAACACTACCACAAAGTAAACAGTCATGCCAGGTAAGGTTTGAAGCAGTTTAGAGGATTCTCAGAGTTCCTCATCTCTCAAATTTAAGGCACAAATGATCCTGCGATGGATCTCTGGAAGACTTGGGCGCCTCAACTTCCAACTCAATCATACTTACCCATTTTTGTCAAAAAAGGGATTCTAAGTAAAGTGCCAAGCATATAGTTCAGCCATAAAACACTAAGTAGCAATTCAGAAGTAGCATAGTAACTCTAAGAATAAGACGATGCAAGACTTATTTTAGGCAGTTACCACAATCTAAATACACAACTGCAGAGAAGAGTACACAAACTGAACAGCATCTTTTCAGACAGCAAGTAATAACAGTTCTACACTTCAAAAGCTGCCAGATGAGCTCTGCTGATGTGGGTGGCTGTACAGTCACTGTTTTATTCCTTGCACACTACACTTATTATGGAACCAAAAGAAATCACACAAAGCAAAAAAGCCACACCCATCCGTTAGGTGAGCGTAACAAAAATAAGGTGCAGGCACAGCATAAGCCATGCCATATTAACAAGTCAATTTTAGACAATCCTAATCCATCACTAGAAAAAGGGAAAGTGGCACAAGACGAAATTAAAAAAAAGTAATTAAATTTCCAGTGGCCTTTAACGAAGAAACCACTTGCAAGAGTAGGAAGAGGAAACTTCTTCAAACATAACTGACTGATGTAGGCACAACTGAGAACGCCATATGGAGACAAGAGCACAAGAAAGTGAAGTGCAGGAGTACTTCAGAAGAATGTAGTGTACAAAATATAGTATCAAAGACCTAATACAAGTACACAGGCATGAGAAAGTAGGACTAATAACTTCTCCAAAGGTAGAGAAGAATTTAAGTGTTATCTGTCACAAAGGAAGAAAAGTAGTTTTTCCACTGTGAGACTTAAATCTAAGCAAAACTGGCAGAATTTAAGACAAGGAATTAAGTACCTTTGAGCTTACAAATAGAGCTGTCAAAAGCAAGGGATCTGCAGAGTATTTCCATGTTCTACCACAGAGTAAATTTCATTTAACAAGATACCATAAAAGGAACAGAAGTAGGACTGAAGAGGAGGGGAGAGCAAGATCAGTTCCACAGAAGGTAGCAGGTACAAGGAGATCTTTAACAGTGGCCTGCAAGACAGCACATGCCAAAGAAACAAAATGGAGAGCAGTTGCTTAAAAGTTGTAACTCATCATGCTACTTTAGATGTGGAACTCCTAAAGTTCTGCTAAGCTACTAATAAGTCGCCACTTTTCATCATGCAACGGTTCGTTTCCCTCGTACACTTCCCTGTCTTCTCTTGAGCCAATGTGATTTCCCTAGGTGAAACGTTTGATGTCGCTGTGCCAACTGCTTCTGCAGAAAGCTCAAGGACAAAACAAAGCTCGCATAGCTCTTCTGACCTTGAAAAAATAAGAGGACCTGGTCTTTCTAAACTATGCATAGGGAGTTTAAACAGAATAAGTGTAAGAGCAAATAGCTAAAAACGCACTTGAAGTGGCTACAGAGGTCCAAGACCTACAAGTAACTTACCTGATCGTTCTGAGCATCTTAGAGCAGCACTACACACAAATTACACCCAGTGAAAAATATGTTGCAAGCAACAGACTTCACAAGTCATAGTGCAGTATCCCAACTAAAGGGCTACAAACCCTACAGCAAGGGACAGGGTTCAGTATTCCTTAAAAGGCTCTTGTTCAGTCATGGTATTCAGCAGCTGCTTATCCGCTCTTCTGAGAACTAAGAGAAAACTTTTACACTGCATAAAATTTTATTTTGAGTTAGAAATGTATGAATCACACAGATTGATTAATATTGACCATATAAAGGTACTAAAAATATTTGGAACAGGACTTAAGATCTGGTTAGAAAAAAGTAACCACACACTAGGAATCTGAGAACACATATCAAAACACAAAAGTATTCTTCCATGCAATGCAGGGCAAATGAGACAAACAGTGCAGATCCTCTCTCTTTGCCTTGAGGGCATAGGGTATCACCTGAAAACTAAACTGAAGAGCTCGTACACTATTTCCCTGTAGTTTTCCTTTTCAGCTCCATTCCTCTTATTTGTACCTTTCACCACTCCATCTTTTTTTTCTTCCTCTTATTCATGGAGGTCCTACCTACTAATTCAATTCATTCATTCTGAGCCATGATAGTCCTGTTCCATAACTCTGCCCTGCTCCAGTCCCCACCTTTTCATCTCTCTCAACCTTTAAGTATCTAAAATACAGCAGGAAAAGTAGTAATTACGGACATGCTTTTGTCCACAACATTCTCATTTCTAGTATATGATTGCTAAAGTAACCTTTATATTAATATAACTCAAAATCTCTTGGCTAGCTATCACCTATTAGAGATCACGCTTGGAAAAGTATGCTGAATTTGACCATCTCTGGAGTAAGCTCCTGACCCTTCATTTTAGAACTCTTTACCAGCACAATTTTAATTTTTATTTTCTTTTTTACTCACTTGGCCACAGACTGGATAACTTTAGAAGATGTATCCTTAATATTAGTGAAAAATCGCTCTGTTCCACCCCTCAGAATATCAAAGAACCCTCCATAAGTCTGGTCACATTCCGCAACGGTCAGGCCTAGAGTAGTCAAATAAAAATAATTTTACTTTAAGTCATGTCCTGGAATGGGGTCCCTCCAGACTAAAGCAAGTTGCCTACAAAGCTGGAAGTGAATGTACATACAGGCTACACCTTACTGTAAGGCTCACAGTTCTCAAGTTCTCCTTAAGTATGACCTATGCAAAAAATAGTACTTCCTGCAGTCAGGAGGTATTAGCAACCCACTTAACACATTGTTTAATTTACTATTTGCATTTAAGAGAAAACAACGTAAAAAATTTCTGAAAGTCAAGTATTTACGTCATATTGCCAATGCAGCAAAATATTGTCTTTTTTTACCATCAGTCTCTTCAAGTGCACCTTATCACTCCCACTAGAGACATTTTAATGCAGGGCTTCAAATGTGGCTCGTATAATTAAGCTACTTTTTAAGCACATGATCCCAGCAAAATATACCTATTAATATGATCATAAACAACAAACAGTACTCATTCTTGCACAAAACAGATGGGCAGACACCTTTTGGTTATAATCGTACTAAGAAGTTGGATTCTTCCACAGAAATTGATATACAGATAACATTATTGCAAGAAATATTACTCTATTTTAAAAGTTTCCCTGAAACACTAATACCCTTTGTGTCATTGGCAATTCAGCATAAGCAAGAAATATCAAGCTGGAAGGAAAACTGAACACAGTATGAAATATTCCCTTGATATCTTCTATATTAATCGAAGTGTTCCATATTCACATATGATATAAGATGTGTGCAGAAATTGCCTTTTAATAAGTAATTAGATGCAAATAAGACTATCAAGCTTCTCATTTTCTTTATTAAGTGTAAGTATTTTCAATTGAATGAACCCTAGAATATCTGTTTTTAGACAATAGGTATGTCAGCTTTTAATTGTCATTTTGGAGACACCTTTTGGTTGACTCAAGTTAGTACTGCTAGTCCAGCTACTGTTTTTCCTTAGAAGGTACTACAACTCCTTCTTACCATTTATGCCCTATGGTACAACCATCTCCTGAGTCCTCCCTGCCCAATCCTCTCATAATTAGCTGGGCTCAAAGTTATTTCTCAAAGTACTGACTGGATAGCCAATAAACTGAGTTTATTTTTCCCTTTCAGGCTGTCAGATGTGAGTCTTTTGGAACTGACAAAACTAAATAGCTTTAGACTATGAGCATTGCCATGAACTACCATGGTGGGCCAAAAGTCTTGTTGGGGGGGGGAGAGAGGAGGAGGGAGAGGTGGGCCCCAGATGCTTATGGAGGTATTTTTCCTCATACAGGCTTTTTGCAGACTAAAACACGTCAGGTTAGTGACTCCTTAGCATCAATGAACTACCGTGGTCAAAATCCCTGCAATTGCTTCTGCCCTTCTTTATTGGACTACCTCAACCATTAGACACCAATAAGCCCACTTTAGCATAAAGTTACACCAAAAGCCACAGAACAGCTGCTATCTTTTTAAGTTGTAGCATATTTCATGTTAAATAGTTCTTCTTGGAAAGCAAAGGTAACTGTCACTTTCTTTCACCAAATGTTTGTGCACACACTTAAGATAGGTACTGACTTCAGTAACTTCTGCCACAAAGTAACAAGATTTCAGTTAAAATAACAGCACTTCTGAAGATTAACAGTTTAAATTTAAACTCCTCTTGAATTGTCCTCTTTACACTAGACACTCAAATATCATTGCCTCCTTGAATCTGAAAGTTTTGTGTTTAAAATGAGACATTTTTATTCATTTGTCATAACCTGAAGACTACTTTTTCTACAGCTCTTGCTCTTAAGAATGTTATTACTTAGAGTTCACTTATTTCAACTCTCCCACATCTACAGGCCATTAATGCATTTTAGTGTCAACTACTTTACATAGGAAACAAAATCAATCTTGCCCAGCAACGAACTTGAGAAATCCATATTTGCATTTATCAACATACAACCAAACCCTGCAAAAATAAAACAAGTTTACAAACAGTGATACAAATGCAAAATAGCTAGTACTTGTGCAAAATGTCTAAAATCCCCAAATTCTTTTTTTTTCACATAGAAGATACACAATCGGTCTTAGATCAAGATGATGTCTCGCTCTGTACTTACCTGCATTGTACATATTGTTGAGCTGTCCTGCAGGCTTGGAGCTCTGTGAAACAGAGGTCACAGATGTCCAAGGCTGAGCATTGTTTCCATAGCCTCCATTTTGTTCCAAGAGCTGAGGAAATTAATACTCACAATGAGTATTTTTTGCCAATTTAGCCAACTTGTTATGCTTTGGAAATCACTGTTACATGGCAAGAACAAGCAAGCTGAACCTCAGGAGAATGCCAGGAAGTTCAAATACACTAACTGATTCACTTGCAGTATTGCGTAAATTAAGCTAAAAGAATATATCTAAGCGGGTTTCAAGTTAGTGTAGGCAGAGACTTTTGTGTACTAGATTTTTCTGCGCAAGTTAATTATGATTAAATGCAGCATGTTAACCAGAGCACTTGCATACTAAAGAATGACCCAAGATCATGAGTTTTTCAACAAGCAGTAAGAACTACAACTAGTTTCCTTTAATGTCATGCAAGCTCTGTACTTTAAAACACATTTTCAAGATCCTACAAGTGATACAGATCAATACAATTGAATTTCAAAACAAGTTAGCAGGAAATTTTCAACAGATTAAGGAACAGGAGACCTGCTCTGACATCTGGTACTAAATTCACATTCACTGGATAAGAGAGAAGAGCAAGACCACCTAATCAACACTACTTCCTGGGACACATCTTTACCTCTGTGATGGGTGATTTAGGATTCACATTCCTAGCCACCGCAATCTCCTGCAGTTGATTCACAAGTTCAGTGATTGACAATCTCTCCTCTGGATTCACCTTCAAAGTGAAGCCTAAAAAAGAACATTCAGACAATGTAGTAGTTACCCTCCAGACCTTTCCTCCCAGCAGAGAGTAATAATTTCTTCAGTGCAGTCCAGTGCAATAATCAAACACATGAACAGAGTTGAGCAACTGCTAAATCCATATCCAAATATCATTGTCATAACAGGTATCCTTGAAAAAACACCATTTAGGGTTAAAAATATTTCAAATAATATACTTTCAGATAAGTTAATAACTTCAGAAGTAACTTTACATCTAAAACTGTGGCAGGTGGAGACATATTTCTGGCACTGTGTAATTACAGTTTCCAGTAATCTATTTGAAATGTAAACAAAAACAACTTCTAAATTCAAAGAAACCAGATCAAAACACTAGGTGTTCCTACAGAATAATTCACATCCTAAGACAGGCACAGCACTAAAAAACCAAAAGTTTAATTTAAAATGTCCAAGTTCTTTGATAATGGATTGAAACTTTCAATAAAACAACTTGTTGCAGTTAACTTTTTTCACCATCACAAGTCAGTAACATTTAACTATCAGTAATACAACGTTGTCAATAATATGTACCCAATAAAGACACCAAATTAAATAATGTTGTAAACTTACGAATGAGATCATGAAACACAGAATAGCGGGTGTCATTTTGTGGGATGACATATTTCCCATTGACTATTCGAAGTTTAGCTCCATCTTCAAATGGATGCTGCCTAAAGCACAGCAAGTACAGGATACAGCCCAAAGCCTGCACAGAGATAAAGGCATAAATATTTCATAGAATCATTTAGGCTGGGAAAGACCTTTAAGATCGTAAAGTTCAACCCACTAACCTAACACTACCAAGTCTACAACTAAACCATGTCCCTAAGCACCATGTCTACACGCCTTTTAAGTACCTCCAGGGATGGTCACTCAATCACTTCCCTGGGCAGCCTGTTTCAATGCTTGACAATGCTTTCGGTGAAGAAATTTTTCCTTATATTCAACCCAAAATGCCCCTGGTGCAACTTGAGGCTATTTTCTCTCGTCCTATCATTTGCTACCTGGGACAAGAGACCAACACCCACCTTGCTACAGCCTCTTTTCAGGCAGATGTAGAGAGCAGCAAGGTCTCCTCCCTCAGCCTCCTTTTCTCCCAGTTAAACAACTCCAGTTCCCTCAGACACTCCTTATAAGACTTGTGCTCTAGACCCTTCACCAGCTTTGTTGCTCTTCTTCTGATGCGCTCCAGCACCTCAACATCCTTCTTGCAATAAGGGGCCCAAAAGTGAACACAGTATTCAAGGTGTAGCCTCACCAGTGCCAAGTACAGGGGGATGATCACTTCCCTAGTCCTGCTGGCCACACTATTTCTGATACAAGCCAGGATGCTATTGGCCTTCTCGGCTACCTGGGCACACTGCTGGCTCATGTTCAGCTGGCTGTCAACCAACACTCCCAGGTCCTTTTTCCACCAGGCAGCTTTCCAGGCAATCTTCCCCAAGCCTGTAGCATTGCGTGGGCTGTTGTGACCCAGCACTGACCCTTGTTGAACCTCAATTCAGTTGCCCTGGGCCCATCCATCCAGCCCATACAGATCTCTCTGTAGAGCCTTCCTATCTTCAAGCAGATCAACACTCCCAACCAAATTGGTGTAATCTGCCAACTGACTGAGGATGCACTCAATCCCCTCATCCAGATAATTGGTAAATATATTAAATAAAACTGACCCAAATACTGAGCCCTGGAGAACACCACTTGTGACCGGCCGCCAGCTGGATTTAACTCCATTCACTACAGCTCTTCAGGCTGAGCCATCCAAACAGTTTTTTACCCAGGAAACAGCACACAGATGTCATGGTGGTTATCACAGCAGGAAGAACATTGGGGTGGCAGTTGGTGACACCACCAGCCCAGGGCTGCAGATGAGCAGCCAGGTGAGCAAGGGCAGAGAGGGGAGGGGACAGAGGCAGGGGCTGCCCATGGTGGTGGCTGCCTTGCATTACAACTGGTCATCCAGACAGGGAAACAATCAGACCACAGTATACTCCTATCTTCTTCTTCTGACACTGAGCTGGAGACTTGCCAACAGTCTAAAGGACAGATAACACCAACTTCTACCCTATGGTGGTCCTACAGGGAGCTAGAAGCTTCCCCAAAGCCACGGGCAAAAGCGCTCCAAACCCTTTTTCACTGGGTACCCTGGGACTGAGCTCCTGGCACTAGCCCTAGTGATGTAGTGGTCATGTCTGTGGGCAGGATGCTGGTGACGGACACCCAGTATTTTTGTCCCAGGATGGGTGTCTCCTGGCCACCAGGGAAGCATGGAATTGACAACCTTGGTGTGAGGCTGAGAGGAGGGAGGTAGGGAGGCAGGGGCTACCTGTGGCAGCAGAGGGTGGCCGCAGCTGTTGATGGTTCTCATTTGACAGTTGCAGTCCCAGACAGGGACATGAGAAAATCACGGCACACTTCTGTCCTCTTCCTCCTCCACCACTCAAAGGAGTGTTGCAACTTTATCCTTGGGTCAATATGATTGTATAAAGAAACACCTTATCCTGTACCTCTACAACTTATTTCATATCCTGGACCATGGTGCTATCTATCGTCCTACAGGAAGCTGGAAGGTCCCCACAGTCGTGGACAAAAGGAGCTCTGTAGCAGCCACATTTTTTGCATGAAACTAACCACAGAACAAAAAAGTTGATAAATACAAATTTTCTGATTCATGAACCCATTGGCCAGTTGTTCTTGTTTGTGTTCTGCTTAATTCAGGCCATATTTAAAGCAGAATTTTAGACTACAAAGATTATTAAGCTCCCTAATACTACTTGTAAATTGCAGGTTTCAATCAACTGCTGACTCATGCAACTCTACATATATAGTGTCAGTACTTTAGAGATCAGCTTCACACTCACTTAGAAATAGTTAGTCTTAATGTTTCTCTGAGCACAAAATAATTAATGAAACATTCATTTGTTTGGCATGTCAGTTACAGAGCTCCAAGCAGCAATACTACTACTAAATGAGTTTGTGAGGTTTTTTCCCTTTCACGTAAGCTTTCAGGCTCAGGGATTCTCCTATTCCTGTCTTTTTAAAAAATCATTACAATAAATCCATTTTATAAATTTCACAGTATACAAAAATGAGTAGTCTTGTGACACGTAACATGTTCAAGAACAGGGTTTTTCTTACAAAACTGCTCAAGTTTTGTTTCATATCTTCATCCTGTGCTTCAAGGAGACTCGTTTTATTTGTGAGGACAGAATTTGGTCCTTTGTATTTCTAACTCTGATACATTCTGTTATGCAATGCACCAGCTAGGTAAGCATTTCAGTGTTAATCAGTTTGTTTAAATGGCATTAGGGAGAGACATCATACCTAAAATATTTGTTTTGATAAACATTTCAAGAAAATAAGCCTGAAATTAAAGTCCCTTTACTTCCCACGTTCAATTCTTGTATCAAAATTTAACATCATTTCCAGACAGGTTCGTTCAAGCCTCAAAAATCACAAAACCAGGACTAGCACATCTTGGGAACTTTCAAGTTCCCTGGTGTGTCCAAACCTGAGACCTGGGCAGCCTGACAAGGGAACAACCAATAAAGCCAGAAGTCAGTTTTGAGTTCTAATCCCTGCATGGTCCAGGTGTTATGCATTAGTTAAGACAACTTCACCTGTTACTTAAGTAAATGTAATTTGACATACACATTTTCATATAAGTTAACATATGAAACATACTGGCACACTTACACTATTGTAATAGAACCATGTGCTATCTGGCCTATACAAGTTCAATAACAAAGCATCCAATACCTCCAAGTAAATGTTTGCACAACAGACTGGAAAATTCCTCCTCAAATTTTCTTCTGAACCCCAGCTTAGTTGCTTGAGTATACGGGCTTTTATAGCCCCTACAAATAAAACAAGCCAGTGAAGACATATAGCTAAGAAATCTGCTGTCTCCAGTCCTTTGCGTGTGCTGTCTCCAACTGTTCTTGGTTGGCAATCTACCCCAAGAAAAGTTTCAAATATTTGAATGTTATTGCTCTCAAAGTTTTGAGATCTAGTTATTCCAAAGTTAATGAGTCTCTCAATCCAGGGCCAGAAATAAACTGCATATATTAATTCTGTATTATTGTACAACAAGTATATTTTTGTCAGTCTGTTGATAAACAGCTTTCTAATGTATACACTCAAGTGTCACACAGTCCATATTAATCCAGCAGGGGAGTACAAGAAATATCACCTACTCTGCCACAGAAATGCCTGTTTATGAAGTAGTAAGGCACATTGCAATTTAGCTGGATGAACGAGCTGTGTCATCCAAGACAGCATGCACATCAGAAGATGGCATTCACAGCTAGACAGGGGAGAAAAGCACAAAGGCAATCAGATTGGCAAACACAAATGCACAGAAGTGAAGAGACCACTTAGATCTCATCTTTGCTTTAATTGCTACAGAATGTTTTTTATTCCCTCTGCTTTATCTGTAATTTAGGATTGTATCAGTGATATGTTTTGAATATTTAAAACAACAATTGTGATTTGGCTAAAAGGCAATTCCAGTTGCAGCAAGGCAATTCCTCAAAGCCAACATCACCCACGTAGCCTCAGCATCAATAAACGTAAGAGAAGAGCCCATTTCTCCAAGATGTTGCCCCAAAGCTGCAGACAGTCCCTGTACAGAAGCTGCCTAGGTCAGTCTTAGCACTCACATGCCAGCAGGTAAAAAGCAGCATGATAAAGTGACCAAAAATAACTAGGAAAAACTTTGTGACCTGCTGCTGGGCCTTTATCAGCAGCTAATTTAAACCTTCCCTTAGGGGACAGAGGGAAGTTTGGGGGGTTTTGGTACTGTTTGGGGTTGGAGGGGGGGAGGTGAGGAATTGTTTGAAACAAAACAAAATACTGTTATTTCTCCACTGACTAGCTTCAGGCAATAAGCAGCACATTTAAAATGATTAAAAGCTCTACAGTGTAACTGCAAGATGACACACAGGTATCACACCAAGGTACTTTCTGAATAGAATTAAACGACATGAAACCTGAAGAGATCACTCAGCTCTCACAGAATTAAAACTAGAAAGATGTCTTACTCTGACCAGAAGCATTTTTTCGAGATACTGGTAAATGGAATCCAACTTTGAAATTTTGCTCCTTAACACATACCAAAGTCCACTCTTCTGCTTTTTCAGAAATTTATATGAGTGGGAATATATGAAGGGCCTTCCAAGCCAACAGAAAACTTCAATGAAGAAAAATCTTTGGCAAGGTAAAGCCTGTCATTTCAGTGGAATTCAGCTGAATTTCAGTTCAGGAAATCACACTGATTTGGAAAAAAAAAGGAATTAAATGTATTTGGGCTTAGTGTTTATTAGTGAAGATCTCTACACTTTGGTAGATGTACAGAAAGCAGTTAGCCAAGTCTAAGAACCTCCGATCTTATAATCACATTCCCATTGTGGAGTCTATGTGGTTGATAACTAATATTTAATCTATGCTGCAGTTCTAAGAAAGACACTTCTATCTCCTTTATACTTTTTAAGCTCACACAGTGACAAGCACACAGACCACAACCATGAGTGTTCCTCATTCTACCTGCTTTCTTGGGAAAACTTTTTTTTATCCTAACCACAAGCTACACTACAAGATCAGTTACACTTCCTGAGAGAGAACCATACTCTATTGCTGAATACTTTGCATGTTTTCATTGATCCTAGAGTGTAAACGAAAAACCACAGAACAACATGTTCTAAGAAAGGCATGGTAAATGGAACAGATCTTCCAAAGGAGACAAACACTATGTTAATACTAATGGATAAGAGTTATTCTAAACAAAAAAAAGGGCAGTTGCAGTTTATTTTTTTAAGTGAGGCTTTTGTTACATGCATTTCTAGCTTTGTGTCTAACTGGACCCGATCTTGGCTCAGACTGCCAGTACTTAATACATGTGAAGTGATCAAATGGTCAAAAAATTATTTTTCTTGGTATTTCTTCACATGCCAGAAGAAAATTGCCAATAGTTGTTGAAGCTGAGTAAGAGTTTCCACAGTGTCTTGTTTAAGAACGTGCTTTAAGTTCTGTGATTCCAAATAAAAACTTTTAAAACACCAGTATTACATTTTCTCAATCTGTCTTTTGACACACTGCCAATACCAAAAACAGCTTGATGCCTGCCTCTGTAGAAAACATCCAACAAACTAAGTCCCTAAGCACAAAGTTACTGGGCTACACCTCAGTACTATTACAGTATTACACAACTGAAACAGGTACAACTGAGGATGTAACATTTACCTTTCATTCCGGATACATATTTTTTAGTAAATGTTAAAAGTTTATCATCCTTTCTGTACAAAGGATGAACCTCTGCATCATTTTCATCCTTGCTATCTGTCAGTATTTTATCTAGATACAATACCTAGACACAACCATTTTGAACTCAGCAATAGGATGTCCCAGGACTAGGTGCATGGCAGAGCATGTAAGGCAAGAATTTCAATCTGAGCACTGTAAGTATTCTGGCTCCATGGTGGCAAGCTCCAAAAAGGCAATAGTTCTACTAAATGCCAAACAAGTTCAGTATTGCCTCTCATGATAGAAGTCAAGATAGGTCTGGGAGAAAAGCTCAACTACTACTCACTCTTAATATTTAGATACATAGTTCATCCTAATCAAGTTTATTTTGACATAAGACAGTCTCTCCTACGTTTATTTTTGGTGCTTTCATTTATTTATTTAACCAAAATTACCACGAAGACTGTAAAATGTTTTACAGTGACATAAGCAGCTATGACACAGCAAGAAAAAAATTTCTTACCCAAATGTCCTGTTTTTCACCAATTGGAAAATTTGAATACAAGTCTACCATTTCTGGTGTCCTGTACATTGGTGTTGTATTCCTTGTGATCTGCAGAAGACAGAATTTCTTGAAACAGAAACTTGAATAATAAGTTCTAATGGCATTTAAGGAAACAGCTCTCCATGTAGAACACATAGCATTCTCACTTTGAAAATTAATTTCAGAAATACTTGTCAAAGAAGAAGGCATCAACTGAATCTTGCAACAGTCACAACAGCTTTGATATAAGGCTGGATAAAGACAGTAGCACTCAAATAAATAACATTGTGATATTCAAGAGTCCTTCCAAACTGCAAAGCACAAAGCAAAATGACTGTTCTACATGAAGCAAAAAGGGACATGGACACAAATACAGAGAATCAACAATAAACCAAGAAGTTAATTCATGCTCCAGTATGTATTTCTCATTTCCTCATCACACTTAATGACAGTGCAGACACATCAAAGAGTTACACTACATTCACAAGGATCCCTGAAAAGACCTTTTCTAACATCTTTTTGCATAGATTATACAAGATAGTGGTACAACACCATCTTTTCTTCTCCAGAAGAAAACCAATGGATTGCTTTCCAAGGATGCTGGATGCCAAAACATGGGCAAGTTTACAGACACTCATGAGATCAGAAGTTGCACATATGGGTTTTAAGTGTCACTGTACTTCTCCATACTTAGAAGTCTGAGTCCAGTTGATATATCACATCAGCTTTACCAGCCAAACTTCCAACTCTAAGAACAAATGCACTTTGCAAAAAACACATCGCATGCTTAACACTGTTACTGTAGTCCAAGAGGCAGTGCAATACCACCTATTCAAATTCTGCTGAGAAGACTTACTGCTTCTTTATAAATCATTCAAATGAGAGAAGAGATGCGAAGGTGAGAATCATTTTGACATAACCAATTTTTTAATTCCTGTTAAGAACACCGTTAGAAGCTCTAGTAATCACTTTTCACAGTGAACTGTAGAAAGGACACTGCTCAAGTTGAAGTAGTTTTTGTAAATGCACTATAGAACACAAGCTCTAACTGCAGACATTCAAATTCTGTCAACAATATTCAGTTGTCTTACAAGTCCTATGAATCAATATCAGGTTAATAGTAACAGTTAAATTAAGCCACTGTTGACATTAAGATTAGTCACATTAAAATTGTCTCACCTCTTCTTCAACCAGTGCTCTCTTCTGAGCGGACCAGTTGTAGTCAGGATAGTAAGCTATAGTTGTAGCACTACCAAAGTCACACAGTTTAATTGTCCCTTGGTTACTAATAAGCAAGTTTTCCACCTTAAAAAAGAGTCAGAATAACAACGACATGTTTTTTTCTGTACAGTAACACATTGGCAGTAACATCAACTCACTTGTGCATATATATACACACATAAAATGCTCACTTTAGCCCAGAATGTTGTTTACAGGAGTACAAACATTTCAGACAGTATTATAGATTTATAGCAATACAGCCAACTTTGAAAAGTAAGCAGTAAAACCACTACAAGCAGGAAACATTCAAGAGAGCAGGAAATAAACCGCAGCAAAAAAAAAAAAAAATTATTTTATTAGTGCCTAAGAGGCCGGTTTTTCAGAGGACCACTTACAGAAGCAGTATCTTGGAATACAAATGTTTTCATGCATAAAACTGAACACTGTTACCTTAATTGAAATGAAGTGGAGGTTAAAACTGCTGTAGACACAAAACAGGAAGGTACTAGTAGAGAAACAGGCTGCTGGGGGACATGAAGAAAGAAGCAGCCATGACTGTGCATAGACAGAAACCAGCTATTTGAGGATCATGGGCTGCCTGAATGCTTTATCATCTTCCCTCCCTTTTCCTGCTTCATAAAATCTAATCTTCCTGGATTGCTAAGTGAAACAGGGAAGAAACTTAAGGAGAGGGGAAAAGAGGGTATTGGACAACAGTATTGTGGGGCATACCCACAAGAGGGCTGACAAAGAAAATGTGTATCTCTGTATAGGTCAGGAAAAGGTGTAAAAGTTAAGAGGCATATTAGTGACATTACAACACCACGTTCAGAAAACTAGGTTGTCTTCTGCTTCCCTTTGAAACCACAACATGTCTGGACTCCCTTCTGTAAAACCTGTTTTCAGAACATCCTACTAGCCTCCTTTACACACACTCCTTCCAACTTCTTCCATCATAAAATTAATTTTGACTACCCTCTAGGTAGACATAAGCTCTGTTAATGATACATTTAGATTGCCAATCTCAATGAGCAATCTGGATTCCTTTCTCTGTGGGATAACCTTTGCTTATCTACATGTCCAACAAGAAAGGTGGGCATTCAACATAAAATTAAATTTATACACTAAAAATGGTCACAGTAAGACCAGAGATCAAGCTTCTATGCACACATGTTCTGTTTTTTGTACTTTGTTAAGGATTGCTAGAGACGTAAAACACTCAAGCTGATTATTCACATTTTAACAGGTTCTATGAACTGTTATGCAGACTAGCTGTGTGCTGCATGGCAAATCCTGAGAAGATCAGATGCAGACAGCTAAAATATCAGAGAAGCACTGATATTTTCCAATTACCCTTTAACTAGTTTATAATTTTTACAATTCAATAACTAGCTGGGTTCTTACAGTGCTGTACACACATATTATAAGGGCAAACTTCATGGAAAGGGGTTCAGGAACAAAGAATGTACTACATGGACAAGCAAGAGAAGGAAACCACAGGAAGACAGAAACAGCCACCACTGCAAAGGTGAACTTTTTTCTAAGCTGCACTGCATAAGTTCATGAATCTTTATACTTTTACACAAAATAATTGAGAAAAACTTGTTAGGACTCCACCCTACTACAGCCCTCACCAAAAGATAAGACTAGCATCTCAGGTCTCATTTGATCTTGGCTCAAAACAATGACCTACAGTTTTTTACGCTCCTGACCTAAGTTCAGCCTTCTGGAAAGGGTAGCAGTTATTTGGCTTATGATTTTAGCAAGGTCTCTGCCTATTGCAGCACAACTACCATTTAATCTTGCCTTGAAGCCCCTGAAACATGAAACAGACATTAAACCAAATTCCTGTCTTTTTCCACATTTTATCTCTGCCAGGAACCTATGTTACTTAACAACAAAACGCAGACCACGAACACAGCATTAGCTCAACCTCTGTGAAGTTGGTTATGTAAGAATTTATTTGTAAACAGGTTTTTTAAAACTCAGAGAAGAGATGTACCCTTTCTACAAGCTCTTCTAGGGGTTGGTGTATAGAAATTTCAGTGAAGAATAACAGATTTTATTCTAGAAAGTAACACCAAGAAAGTTCTATCCCAGCTTGGTTAAAATTTGACACAACCTAGAAGTCTGATGAATGGTACTGAGAAAAAAAAAAAAAGGAGTGCTCTATTATCACAACTGGTTTTATATTAAGGGGCTATACTAGTAGTGATACCACATCAAGCAGGAAACAGACATACATGTGAAGGTCAGACACTTTCGGGAATAGGAATCTTCTTTCTCTTATTTTATGTTTACAAAGAGCACTTCCTTCCACTAGGTTCAAAGCACAGCAGAATCTCACTAATGATTAATTAGGGCTTCTTCATCTAAAGTACAGTGGTACAAGTAAAGGTGAACTCCTGCCTTCAAAATACAAAATTCAAACGCAGATTAAGTCCTTTCAAATCTCCAAAGTTTCTAAACGGATAACGCTTTCTAGAGCATAACCCTATAGCATCTTGGTAAAGGCTAAACAGAATGAAAAATTAAGAAAAAAAATCTATCATGAATTATGCCTACCAAATTTTAAAATTCAAGTTAAAAACAAGGCCTAAAATGCAATGCAAGTTGTTAGTTCTAAAAGCAACAGCTTATTACACAAAGTCTACGTAATCTTGGACAGAGAATTCAACATTGCCTTCTCTTCTAAGTTTTACCTCTTCTACCTAGGAAACCTGGTCACCCCAAAACTGCTACTCACATATCATAATTGGTTACTTAAGACTAACTTAACCAGCAAACCATTATACACTACTTTTCTGACAGCTTGTTCAGATAGAGTACAACTAGTACTAGCACCTTAAGCACAAGGGAAAAATGTTTCATCATTACCTTAACTGACATCCAGCAGCCTCAGCACGGCAATACATGTAAGCACTACACTTAGGAGTGTCCACTGTATTTATCAATAGCCTTAACACTGATTCAGCCAGACAGTCTCCTTTGCTGTTTAAAAATTCAACCTGTATTTAAACATTGTAACATACCTTTAAATCTCTATGGATAATAGGAGGCTTCTGTTTATGCATATGCTGCACTGCTCTGCAGGTCTGATAAAAGATCTTCAAAAGTGTGTCACAGGAGATAGGCCCTTTGGATTCTACTTTCTTTAAGAATTCTACCAGCTGTCCTGCAGGAAATCAAGAGAAATTCACAAAAGTACACACAAAACACCACAAATTCTGAAAGCTTGGCACAAATAGACAAATGCTCTTCTCATCAAGAAAAATTTACTGTCTTGAGCTCTAATATTAGATTGATAACTCTGAAAATGGCAAATCCACAGACTGCAATGCCAAAGTAAATGGTACTCTGAGGAACTATTTCTCCCCTTCCTTCCTCTGACTAGTATCGAACACAAGGAACTTAATGACTATCCCATATTGAAGGTAAGGTTGAACTGTAGTCTCAAAAGAACATGATTCTTATCCTGTAAAAGGTAAGGTGAACTCCAGCTCCACTGAACTATGCTATCTTTAAGAGGCTGTCCAAGCTTCTAAGCTGTGAAGCAACAGCTGTCAGAAGCAACATGCACTTCTGGGAAAATAAAAAGTTTACCTTTACACAGCTCTGTAAGCAGAAGAAACTCTCCTTGTCCCGTATCCGATTCTTCTTTTCCTATAGATGCAGCAGAACAGAACTGGACAATATTGGGATGACCTGAAAGTTTTTTCTGGAGATAACATGTTCAAGGAAGATGACCACCAAGTTTATTGATACTACTGTATACAGCAGTTCAAACATCTCATTTGAAATGTTGAGCTTAAAACCACAGAAAGCATTACAGCTGCAATTAAAATACTAAGCAGAACACACAAATTCATACCTCAACTGAAAAAAAACCTCAGACTTCAACGGAAGTCACTGAAGGTAATGTAATAGGTCAAAATCAAACATTCTACAAATCCTTGTGGTTAAGGCTGTAAGGAAACTGGACTTCATAACAGGCCTATTTTCTTGCTTTTGGCTTTTGACAATGACTACAAGGTATTAGCACAAGTAACAGAGACTTTTTAATTATAAGCTGCTTCTCTAGCTGGCTGATCAAGAAAGGGCTATTGTATCAAGACTTGCCTTTCTGAAGCAAGTATTAAGTATGTTATGCTTCAATTTTAAGTAATTAAGATAAAGTTGAAAACAAAAGCTCTAAATGACTGAGGAACTTATCCTCCCATCTTTAGTAATACCTCTCCATACTAAAACCTTTGTCATGTTTAACTTTCAGTTCAAAAATACAAGATATCATTTTTGGACTATATAAAGGGGAGTAAACTGTAAGCGATCTCAACTCCTGACCGTGGAAATTACATTGCATTATGCCTGTTTGTGTTGTCCCTGATGTGCATCACCTTGGTCATAAACTGAGACTCATGCCTATAAGACTAACACATGCTATTTACAAGATGCATCCACCAAATCTGAAAAAAAAAAGCACAGACATTGTAAGTACAACAAAGCTATAAAAAAACAGGGCAAGCTGCACCCACCAAATCAGAATAAATCCAAAGTACTGTTTGTATTTTACGCTTCTCTTCAAAACCTTTTACTCAGACCTGCAGGAACTAATTTCATTTCACAGTTGTATCTTGGAAGGTTAGCAACAGTTCACTCTCATTTATGTTGTGTATATCCTTTAATGAGCCTGAGCTACGAAAAAACATGCAAAGTACATTCAGTTCTTTATTCCTGGCAAGATGCAGCCAGAGCAGCTAGAAAATGTTTGGTGCTATGGCAGTTCGGTCTTTGTAAGTGTACTTCTAGGGAACTGTGTTTAGTGTAAGATTTTGCCAAACATTTCAGTAATCAGAAGAAGAAATATCTGAGTATCTTAAATTAAGATTAGCGGTTTTGTCTTGTGACTCAAAATGATGCCGGATACTCAGTGGTAAACAAAACAGCTTACCACAGCTCCTCACTGACTCTTGAAACAAACTGAGGGTCTTAGAGCAGATGCTGGGGAGCAAATATTGAGTTTACTAAAGCCAAGGACTGAAAACAGTGAGATGACATTATACCCAAAATCTAACATCACTGACAACAAAAAGGACAACAATAACACTGAGAAGCATCTGCTTCTTGTGTCTGTGCATGTATTCTACTGAAATTCCTGCCAGATACATCTGAGGCAGAAATTAAGAAATAGAGAGAGTAAAAGCAAAGTTTTGAGTAGGCAACAAGCCAATAAATCCAATGCACATGAGGGAAGCCTACTTAAGATTTAAGTATCATCTGAATGGTCAAGAGGTCTCTTGACCATAGTCACACAACTGCAAGAAAGTCGAAACAAAGAATTTAACTTCTCGATAGATGACATACGTAACTTTCGTCATCTGGACACATTAAATTCCTGCAATTTTTGAAGAACTGAATTTGCTGATATTGGTGGCAGATTCATGACAAACCAGGAATCCAGACCTTCCTCAGAGGGTCAGTCCTCTTAAGCAGTTTATGGCATGGAAAAAACAGAGTCTGTAGAGCAGTCCTCTATTTCTCAGAAATATTTTATATCAGACAATTAAATCGAAACATTAAAATATCTTCCAGAAAAGGATACCATAAAACAAACTTCCTGAATGATGGCTTTGTTCCTTTCTTCTTCATTAGACAACAATCGCTGCCAGAAAACAGAATAATTAACATATAGTTGTTAAAACTTACAGCAAAACTGCACAATTTTTTTTTCCAGAAGATAAAGGATAAGTTACAGTCAAAAAACCTAAGGAAATGTGAGGGGACAGTGAAAAAAGCAGGTTCATTGTACATTTGGACCTACTGCCATAAATACAGCAACCAGTTTTACAGATACCTGTACTGTGCAGGTTTAGTGACAACTGAGCAGTCGTAACCTTCAATACTTGTAAAGTAACTGCTCTGACAGTTTTCTTTTGTACAAAACACTGAAGTCTCCTGGCTACAGCATTGCGCACTGACAAAGAAAGATTCACCTTCTGCCTCAAATCTTTAGAAACAACCTTCAACCCACTCCAACTAAAATTTCTCCAAATCATGTAGCCCAACTTTTTCAATGGCATCTGAGTAATCAACAGCAAAATCAAGCACTACCATTTCCAACATTGCTTGTATTTGAAGTCAATGTTTGACTAGAATAAATCCGAGCATTTGCTACAAAAGTACCAGTTTTACAAAACAGAGGATGTACAGTAATGGTTCATCTTTTGTCTTTTTTTACAGGGGGCTACTTCTAGATGACATTTTGAACACACATACTATGTATGTTTGGTCACATGTCTTAGTACCACAGGATGTGGCATGAAAAAGGAAAAAACACAGACCAAGTAATTACTCATTGTGTAATGCAATCTTACCTCTCCCACCTCTCATATTACTACCCTTTCCACTTTTTCTCCAATATACTTTCATACTGACACAGCCACAGAACACCCCTGCTCCAAAAATGAAGCCATTTTGTGGTGAACACAAGTGACACAATGTTTTTTGCAGCAAAATATGACAAGTTAAATTACTTCACTTTACTGTCCTTTCCATAATACTTCAGTTTTTCAGATGTTACGTGATTATTATACGCCTTCAAAAAACAAGAATTCAGAGGAGTGTCTCTGAAAAGTGCCAGGCTGAATGTCTGATCAGTAAGTCAAAGTGTGGAGCATTATTTTTGTACTGATGAAGCTTACTCTGGAAGTACAAAGGTATGCTAACTGGTAGGCTAAATCTCCTTCTAAGGAGTGAAAATATTCCTGCATCCCACTTCAGGTAACTCGGAAAGGTTCTTTTTACCCATGCAAAAAAATGCTTGGGACAGGGTTATGCATTTCTTGACCAAATGAAGTCAAACAGCAGTAATACCTAATAGAGCAATTCCCATCTTTGGCATCTCTGTATAAAGCTCAGAGTCCTAACAGGAATGACTGTTCTAAACACAGATACAGTGTGCTACAAACACCACTTTACCATTCCAGATTTTTCCAAGTTACTTGTTCAGTGGCATACATCAAGAATTAACTCTCATGTTAAAGGATCAAGCAAAAAGATAGACCTTGCAAACCTGTAATGAAGTAAATTCATCTTACCTTTAAAGCATAATCTTTGCCACTTCCAAGATCTTGCGCTTCATAGACAAAAGCAAAACCACCTACAAGAAGACACATGAAGTTATTTTTAATTTCAACATTCAGACAAATATTTCTTTTTAGTGTAACAGAGCTAACACATGAATTTAGATGCTCTTCTAAATATAAGAAGTATACGTATTTTTCAGTGGCTTGCCAAGAGTATGGGTAACCTACATACAAGTGTTAAAATATTCTCTTCCTTTCTTTTATACATGCCAGTACTACACTGACTTTGTTGCTTTCCTGAATTTTGTTAGACTGCATATGCAGACTTCCTGTGAAGCAATTTTTTTTTAATTAAGGTCCTTATAACACCAAGAGTCAGTGCAGCCATTATTACCTAATGATTTTCACCGAACTACTTCTTGGTTTTACATTGTTATGCTTCCTATAAAAAGAGCAATAACCAAGCAAGATAAACGTTAACTACACACCTCCTCACACTTTCAGGATAATTCCATATGAAGTCTGAAGCATGGCAAAGAGGAAAGCTTTTTCAAGCACTGAAGCACACGCTTCCAATAAGGGTGATGCTGTTACTAAATTGCAATTTGTCATTCCATACAACATAATTTTCCTTCCAACTCCTTTTGTCAGAATATCTGTTTCCTCAATCACTACCAGTCTGCTCAAGAACACTGCAAACTTCTACAAAGTCAAAAAGACTGACAAAAAGTCACAAGTCTAATAGCTATTGGAGAAATTTAATCTAACTGTGTCCAAAGAGCATGTTTGGACCGTTTTACTCCATTTTAAATAAAGATCCTGGTATCTTCCATTTCTTCTGAGAATGTCATCTTTGTGGTTACACCAACAGCATGGTTTCGTATATGCTCTCCATCTACTGCAGAATATCTCTAGTAGAGTAACAGCCAAAGTAACAAACTTCAATGATTTGCCTTTAATATAAGCTCCATTTTCATTGAACTACATAGCAGTGTTCTTCGAGCATTAATTTGGAGAACAAGCACAGAAGATGTCAGTGAACTTCAAAAACCTTACTGATCAAAAAGGCTAACAGGATAAGATATTTAAAGGATGAACCATCACAGACAAGAAACAAACTGACAAGGCACCTTCTTCAAAAGATGCAGGATCCAAATCAGTACAGTCACAGTATCCAATACCTTCTCTGTGGATAACGATTATTAACATAAGGTTGAAGTAACAGCATTTGATTTCTGCAATTCAGTCAAATACAAGGCTTTTCAAGAAGTGCTCTCAAACATTTTACATGACAATTGACCACGAGTCTTCTAAAGAGGAATCACATACAAAACCAGCAAAACCAAGATCCCCCATTGCAAGGAGAACAAGCAAAAGAGAGTAACTAGTGCACCACAGAAGAGTTAAAGTATGAAAGAGAACATCAAAGATGACAGACAACACAGGCTGCAGTTCAGCCCCACCATACACTGTTCCATGTGCATTGCGCTTATCCGTTTACTTTGATTCGTTCTGTAAAATAAGGTTACTTCCCACAACAGGAAGCTCTCTTACCTTTCCTAAAGACCCCAGTGCAAGCGTTCTGATCAGCAATCACAATTAGCATTGTGGGCACGGATGGGACAGGCACAGGAGACAGAATTAAGTCCACAACATCATCTTAGAGTAATACCTGAAAACACTTTGCTCCTATATACACATTATATCCTTTGCACACATACAAGAAAAACAGAGTCCTGGACAGTGCTGACCAGTTATGACCACTGTCTACAGACTTCACAGAGCTAGTGAAACAAGAAAGATATTCGAAGTCATCCTTCCACTGAAGCTGGGTGCTGGGAAACCATGGTTTTTGACTGCTCTTCCCAACCAGTTTCCTACTCACATGTAGAGGCATGGTGCATATTGCAGAGCCCACTGTGCCAGTGAGCTGCAAGCCACTACACCAGTGTATACCAGTCACTGTACCACAGAGCTGCTGCCTCTATGTCTTCGTCCTACACAGATCCCATAGACCCTCTACACGGTGAAAGTACTGCTGGTTCTATAGAAAAAGTTACTTACATTCATCTTGATAAATATTTCTTTGATCACATTCTAATAATCCTGCAAGCTGCATCTTGATAATATATGCTTCAATTTATAAAACTGGGGGCTTCAGGTCAGCACAAATTTCTAGTAAACAAAATTACTGCACAGTTAAGTTTTCTGGAAGGCACTCACAAGCAAAACGGTGACAGAGGCACCCCAGATTACAGAATGGTTATTCTGCATGCTCAGTTCAGCTACGTATACTGCCAAGAGTTCTACCAGTGCTGGAGTGCAGCCAGGATACCCTGTATTTCAAGCATACAACTTGCTAGTACCTCTCAAATACAAACATCCACAGACCTACATATATATGCACTCCAAAATATAACAATGCTTCATTCAAATACATCAAATGCCCTCCTGGAAATTATACGGGTGAAATCACCTGCGCATGAGAACTAACTCATCAAATCAATTTATTCCACCATTTTTATGCAAATATATGATTAACAATCAAGCTGATTCAAACTCTGAAGAAGGCCCCCAGAAGCACTGCTACCTTTCCAACTATTTCAACTGGTCTGATAAGGTTTCTTAAAAACTCTTCCTCTAATATAAGAAATGCTTACAATATAGACCAAGTTGCACATTATCAAAGCTTAATCCTGTTGACACTGACTAGAAAAGAGTAAAAAGAGGATTTAGTTTACTCGACTGAAAAAAATATTATATTAAGTCTTCAAAAGATATATTTCAAATTTTGACAAAGTGGTGATCATCACACAGTCTTCCCAAAAGTCTAGACACATTCACAGTTGCCCTGAAATTTTCTCCCTCCGTTCACATATAATCTTGAAAATCATGCCTAAAACTCAACCACATTTATTATTAAAACTACCTAAGTTAATTTCTCAATGGAAAAGCCTGGTTTTTTTAAACACTCAATGACAATGTTACAAGAAACTTCATAAGCCTTTCTGAGGTGAAATAATTTTTGTTGCATTTAAACAAATCTCTCTTCCAACAAAAAAAATAATTTCAGTTCTCTTAATTGCTATCTACGAATCTAAAGAAATTTTATATTCAGCTTTATAACTACTTCAAAACATAAACTAGTTGTAAGTTTCAATACCCACTGAAAATCATAAATGTTCATTTTGGACTAGGAGTACAAAAGAACATTTTCAGCAACGCAAGCTATTTAAAAACAAATTCTTGTTATCACCAGAAGTTAATACAAGCTCTGCTTAGTTTAAACCACAGCTATTTGACTTTAAGTGAAGCATAATTGACCTTATCTGGAAATCTGATGGAATCTGCATACAAAGTGTCCAAACTAAGATGTTCTGAGGTCGAATTTGAAGCTGGACAGACTCAACTTCTGTATTAGCAAAATACTTGGTTTAATTACATTTTCATAGTATAGGTTAACAAAAGGAAAAATAATGAAGAGTCTTCTTTAAGGCCATTTCAACTGTGGCATGGACTACCAGAGCTCCTAGCAATAGTTACACAATAGGATCTCACAATTTATACAGCGGTATTAGCATAGTAAGCTGAAGGGAAAAACATTAAAATACTGATAGTATGAGAAAACACAAGTAGCTTAACAGATGCACTTTACTTCAGCAATTGTACCTTAAAATTAAGTACTGAAATACTAAACAGAGTTAAGTTCATGAAACTTTTCAGAACTCCAAACAAAATCCAGTGGTGGTATGCCTGGTTAAATTCCTACTTAATTGCACGCATTTTATAGATAATTTCTCTGCTATGGCCTCTAACCTTATCATTTACAGCTATGCTCCCACCAAAACATTAGTTTAAAGTAAGGTTCTCATTCTGTCATTTAATTGTTTCACCTGAACACAATTCAGTTCCATACAACACTGCTCATTCCAGGTGGTTGTTTACTTCTACTGCAGCACTACAGCTGACACCAATTTTAAATCTATGGATTTTCTGGGACACCAAAGGAGGTACAATAAGTTGTGAAAGCACTTCTAATTTACTTTCTGTCGTGGTTTATAAAGCCACAGGGACAGTTTTTGCTAAACACCTGGGCTGAGGCAGGGACAGGGAGGGTTTCACTCACCACTTAGGGGTATGGGCAAGAAACCGACATAACTTGGGAAAAACAAGAAAACAATTGAATTTATTAACTATTTACAACAAGAAGCAAGATAATGAGAGAAAAACCACATCTTACAAAAAGGCACTTCTCCCCCACCCCTCCTTTCTTCCCAAAGCCCAAAAGTTTTGGTCTGTACCTTCTGCCCTCCCGGCAGCACAGGGGGGCAGGGAATGGGGGTCCACCGCTCTTTCCTCCTCAGGGGAGGGCTCCTCACAGTCTTTCCCAGCTGCAATGTGGGGTCCCCTTCTCACGGAAGAGTCCTTCTCAAGAACTTCTCCGACGCGAGTCCTTTCCAAATGGTGCTACAGTCCCCTGACAACTGCCCGGCTCTGGCGTGGGCTTCTAGTTCCAACGTGGGGTCCTCCACAGCTGCATCTTCTCATGGGCGACTCTGCACCGTGCTGCAGGGGAAAATGATAGAAGCCTTCTCTCTCCTTCGCTGACCAGAGGGTCGTGTGGTCCTTTCATCTCAAAATCTTGCTTCTCTCTCCGTTGCAGGTCTTCATCAGCTCCCAGGAAAATACAGACTCTCGGGCGAGCCATGGCGGAGGCTTGGGCGATGGCAGGGGCGTGCTCAGAG